TTCATCTTCTTAAAGTCAGATTTCAAATGTTAGTTTCAGTTCTGACTCTTAATGTCGATATGCTAGGTTTCTACTTCATATCACTACACCCCTTTGGTAATCAAAATAATAATATTTACCCCCATTAATGGAAATAAAGTTTAGAATCACACAGCTTTTACAGAGGAAACAGACGCAGTTACTTCAAGCTAAAACACTATCTGGAAAAAACATTTTGATGCATGCTCAATCACCCAGGAAAGTAAATCCCAAAAGGTTAATTCTATTCATTTTATTATACTCATGGCCATTGATCAATGATCAGTGGTCTTTGATCAGTGGTTGTTGATCAATGGTCATGACATTTTACATATTAATGACCAAGAAACTGACCTCACAGCCCATTGTTCATTAACTGGGTTAGTTTCAGTCGCTGTGCAAAGGTACTGTTTATAAGGTTGGGGAAACCCACAGTCAGCTGAGACTGAAGAAGTCACTTAGATAAGTGGCGAACCATTTTTCCACTGAAAATGCTATGTCCAGTTGAATAGATTCAACCTTTTGGGCTCTGACAGGAAGAGGTCTGGCGCACCCAAAGCCACAACTAAATCAAAGGACAAGTTTCTGAGAGTTAACAGCTTGTATGATAGGTGGCTCACAAAAAAAACAGCTTTAAGCACAACTTAATAGTGGTCGTAGTAAGAAAATCTCAGTTTCAACTGTGAAGAGAAGACCTCGAGCTGCAGGTTTGACAGGACGAGTTGCAGCAAGAAAGCCGTTGCTAAGACGTCAGAATAAGGCAAAGTGGCTTGCCTGGACCATGAAACAACACCAATGGACTACTGAAGACTGGAAGAAGGTATTATGGAGTGATGAATCAAGTTTTGAAATTTCTGGTTCATCACGCATAATCTTTGTACGCCTTCGAGCAGGTAAAAGGATGGTTCTACAGTGTGTGACATCAACTGTCAAACATGGAGGAGGAAGTGTGATGGTCTGGGGCTGTTTGCTGGATCCCGGGATGACTTTTTCCAATAATAGTGTAAAGGCTTTTTCTATATTTCTTTTTTTTCTGTTTTCTCAAAACAAAGTACAAAAAATATACAGTTAAAATAGACAGTGGACAATGCTGAGTCATGTGATAACTCCACCCTTAAAAAAGAGTAGGTTTTATATGTCACAGTTTCTGATACTGTGAGAAACTCCCCATCAAGGCTTATTCCCAATTACATTTCAAGAGCAAGATCTATTTTGGGGACTGTGCGTGTGTGATCTTATTAGTTGTTTTAATTTTTGCTGGAGAGTGTTGGAGAAAGTTTCTCTAAAAACACATTTTAGGAAATAGTCAACAAATTGAGAAAGTGATAAATTGGTGGATCTCTACTATAAACCATAATGACAAGAAATAGATGTAATTTATTGTAGCAGTAATGCAAACTGGTCTTCTCACAGAATTAAAGAATTTAAGAGCCAATCAATCAAAACTTGGTTTCCCAAGCATTGACCTTATCTATGTCATGTCTATCTGTCAGTGCTGCATATAATCAATTAGCCACAACAAGAAAAAACAAAAGAGCTTTAAAACATTAATCGGTTCTTTGCAATACTCTGCTAGGAAAATTCGACCCAGAGAGGTCTTATTGTACAAGACACTGAATCCATGGATCTGCTAAGTGCTAAACGCCTAGGACACTATACAGTACTTTTGGACTTGAGGATCTCATAGGTGATTAGACAGCACAAGGTTTCAGTGTTGTGGCTGATTAGTGTATGTCTCTTCCTGTAAATCTACAATGGGGGAAGTAAGTTATCTGATCCAGTGCTGAATGTGGTTCAGTGCTGACTGTTTCCACAGTCTCTGTTTCCACCTCTGTGCTTCATTGTGGCGATGGAGTTCTTTGGGTCATATTAAGCATTTCTCTTCCTCTAAATACAGTGTTGATGTTCATGCCAACAGAGCTCGGCTTTAGTTTGATGTGACCACAGCACGTTCTCCCAAGCCTTCTCTTAATCATTCTAACGTTCACTGAAAAACTTAAATTTGGCCTGTTTATTTCTTGATCCAAGGTGACCTTGTGGTTCCTACAAGATGATTCAAAAGATTGTAACATGTTATCAAAGATGTTCTTGGTGACTGTGGACCCAGCTGGTTTCAGATCATTACCAAGCGTCTTTTGTGTAGTTTTGAGCTGATCCACCACATTTCTCAAGATTATCTCCACCCCATGAACAAGATGTTGCATGGAGCTCCAGACCAGCGGTGATTGATGGTTATTTCGTATGTCTTCCATTGTACCAACGGTGGTCATATTTTCACAGAGCTTCTTGCTGATGGTCTTCTAGCCCATTCCAGCCTCGTACAGCTCTACAGTCTTGCTTTGAAACTGATTCTGTGGGCAGGTGTGTTTTATACTCATATACAAGTTGCAATCAAGAGTAGCTGAAATAGATTAATTGATTATAATTTGTGTGCCACATGGAGACAGCCAACCTTTGGAGCCACAGTTTCTTGTAGGAGATCAAATACTTATTTCACTCTACTATATGCAAACCAATAGTTTTTTCTGGATTTTTAGTTGATATTCTCTCTCTCGCTGTCAAAATGAAACCACCATAAAAATGAGACACTGTTTGTTTCTTAGTAAGTGAAGGAAAATACAGAGGTATGCTATTTTCCTTCTCCAGTGTTGTGTTCCTGCTTTTTCAAAACAATGCGTTTTTTCTGCCTGCTTTTCCCCCACATAATTTCCTTATAGATTATTAAAGTGTTCTGACTCTGAGGCTGATCCCTGCATAGCTGGATTTGTTCACTCTGTCCTCTGACATCTGACTTGGATGTGGTAATAAATTTCTTCAGTGTAGCATTTGTAATGTAAATTACAGGATCTAGTGGAGTTATTATCACACAAGGGTCAAATGCTAAGGACCTAATAAAATGATTCATAGCCTGCCTGTCAGAATTTTGTGGAGACACTTGGTTAAGTCTCCCCAGCCACTCCACTTTACTCTGCACTCTTTACTTTGCTCAGGCCATATGTTTAAAAAAAAGAAAAAGGACAAAAAAAACAGATTTGGTAATACTTTTCATTTTAAACTCTGCCTGCTTTACATCGTTTTACCGGGTGACACTATGATACTATATTGCTTCCCTAACTACAAATGTAGTTATAATGGAAAAAGGATTTTTCAAATAATATTATATAATTGTACTTCTAACCTCTGTGCTCTACATCAAACTAAAATATGTCAAATTACCATCCATCCATCTTCTTCCGCTTATCTGGACCGGGTCTTGGGGCCAGCAGCCTAAGCAGAGAAACCTAGTGTACCCTCTTCCCAGCCACCTCCTCCAGCTTGTCCAGGGGAACACCAAGGCGTTCCCAGGCCAGCCGAGAGATATAATCCCTCCTGCGTGTCCTGGGTCTGCCCCGGGGCCTCCTACCAGTGGGACATGCCTGGAATACCTCACCCAGGAGCCGCCCTGGGGGCATCCTTATCAGATGCCCGAACCCCCTCAACGATCTCCTTTCGATGTGGAGGAGCAGCGCCTCTACTCAGAGCCCCTCATGGATGGCTAAACTTCTGACCCTATCTCTAAGGGAGAGACCAGCCACCCTTCGGAGGAAGACCATTTCTGCCGCTTGTATCCACAGTCTCGTTCCTTCGTTCACTACCCACAGCTTGTAACAATAGGTGAGGGTAGGGAAGAGGATCGACCGGTAATTTGAGCGCTTTTACACTCAGCTCTCTCCTCTTCACCACGGTACAGCATCTGCCTTACTGCAGCCGCAGGACCAATACATCTATCAATATCCTGCTCCCTTCTCCTGTCACTTGTGAAAAAGACTCTGAGATACTTAAACTCCTCCACTTGGGGCTGGAACTTGTCCCTGACCCAGAGCTTGCACTCCGCCCACTTCCGGCTGAGGACAATGGCCTCAGATTTGGAGGTGCTGATTCTCATTCCCATCGCTTCAAACTCTTCCCCGAATAGTTCCAGTGCGAGCTGGTGGCCATCACCTGATGAAGCCAAGTCCTGGTGGCACGTGCACTTATGGACACTTATGTTTGAACACGATGTTCGTTATGGACAGACTGTGGTAAATTGCTTTAGGTCATAAAGCCACATAGTGTGTGACTGCCTGATGTGTTATGTGATATTTAATAACATGAAAGTTGTCAGACTTCATTTCTGAAGGTGTGATTTAAGTTTTAGATGAACAGTTTGACTGAATAATTTTGTCTGATGTTTTTTATTTTAACTTGTTTTGTGTTGTTTTGTCTTTCAAAAAATATTCAGCTAAACAGCTAAATGTTTGGATCTGACATTTGCAATTGTATACAATAAATGGATGCAGTTTTCACTTTATTATGTAGTGCTATAAATTGAATTGAACCAAACTGAATTGAAAGTAGAAATGTTAGCCACTTGCACAACCTGTGCTTCCTAACAAGGCAATGATACATTTCATTGCCAATTATTGTCATGATTGACTTCTACTCTCAGGCAGTCATATACTGCAGGCTTGGTCAGAACCATTTGTTTGCTTGGGAACAGGTTGGGTATTCTAACCCAGATTTTTACCTGTTCCTCATCCTACACAATATAGCTTTGGTGCTGTAAGTAAACGTTGCAGCATGTAAGGAGGAAAGTGACAGGCCACCACGCATTCTTCGCTCATTTAAAATTTAGTATGCAGATGTCACATCTCCACCAAGTGGCATTTGTGTATCATACACACTTGGATGAAATTCTAACGGAGCAGATTGCATGGCTTTTAGGGTGTCCTATCTTCTCCAAGAGTCCATGTTATCTAGAAATTCCTTAGTTGTCGCGTATGTCACCTTCTTCTGAAGCTGAATGAGTAAACCTGCTCAAACATCATCAGCGTCAGGAATCAAAAAATAATCATTATAATAATCAATCTATGTAGACTGTGAAATGTGTGCTTCTTCTCTAACCTCTTTTTTTTTTTTTTTTTTTTTTTTTTTTTTTTGTCCTGGTCTCTCCTCTCCCTCAGTGCTATGACTCAGCCTGGACAGCAGCTCCTACCTACATAGAGGTCACTTTACCTCTCTTTCTATCTGCTTTGGTCCAGAGGATGCTGGGAATGTGTCGCGGGCGCCGGAAGTTCCTGGTGGCCTCCCTCGCCCTGCTCTTCATCCCAGCACTTACGTGGCTTTACCTGTCAGTCGGGAGCTTTCAAGGTAAGGACAATAAGTATTGGCACAGTTGTTTGCAACTTTTATGGCTTTAAATTATTTAGGTTTCTGTGGGGTTTTTTTGACCATTTTGAAACAGTCTAACAATAATGAAAACACTAATTAGAAATGAATACATAAACACATAAAACAAGAACAAGAAGAGCCTATAGAGTTCTTCTTGGAAAAGCAAACTGTGTTTGGTACATTATCACATTCAGATCATAATTCTGATTGCAAAAGCTACCAGACAGGACAGGATTTTTAAAAAAAGTGATGCAAGACTGGGAAACTTTCTCCTGTTCTAACTGTTTTAAAATTAAAAAATTCATGATAAAAGGTTGTTTTTTTTCAACATTTTATTTTTGACTTTATTCTTTTCTAAATTTAACACATCGTTAAGTTTTTAAATATTACAGATAAATATTACCTATTTTGAAAAATCTGTTTGAGCTGATTAAATGTTAACAAAATGCTGGACTGGTTCTCATATAGTCCTTTTCTAATCTGAGCACTTAAATTGCTTTTATACGACTTGCCTCATTCGCCCATTTATACAAGCAGTGTTTCTATATTTTTTTCTATCGAACAGTCACATACATTTAATGCATCATAGGGCAACTCTAGGTTAGTGTCTTGCCCAAGGATATTTGGCATGAAGACTGGAGCAGCCAGGGATCAAACCACCAACCTGCTCTACCCCCTTAGCTACAGCCATCCATAGTAAAGATAAAAGTTTAGGTTGCTGGGATTAAAATAAGGAACAGTACTGTCATACTTTTCAGTGCATGTCATGCCTTAATATTAAAGCCCGAGGCTTATCCCAGAAAGTGTGAAGATACAAATTTCCTGTAGACAAAGTGACCTTTCTCTCCCAACTTTCTTCCTGAGGTGGTATGTTAATGAATTACTGAGGCCTGTCTAAAGTTGATTACTTCCTCCAGACAATAATGTCCAAAAGTTCTTGGAGCCATTTTAATCACTTTGACTCACAGGATTGAAATGCTGCAGTAGTGCCATTATTAATTATGATTAAATTGGCAATTTTGACTTGGGGTCACAGTCACTGGAGAGCGTATATGTATATACACTCCCATAATGGAATAGTCACCAAGGTCTGCAAAGTAATTATTAGATTTGGCAGTAATTCCTGGTGGTGGGATGCAGTTCCTGGGAGTGTGATAAGCTGTGACAGGGCCTGGCTGCAGGTTAAGCCTGGATGTGTGAGACAGGACCGATGTGCTACTACTGGCTCAAATTCAGTTTTACATTTGGACTCTATCACTACCTCTCAGTTCAGTTCATTTTATTTGTTTTATTGGCTTGATCATATTCATAATATTGCCAAAGCAATGCGTTTTATACATTTTGAAACTATGATCCTTGGACTGATCCCATTTGAACTGGTTTGTGAACAAAGCATGAATCCAGCAGTTATGTGGCTCTTTAAAATGTCTTACATACATCATGTTTTACATACATCAATGTTTATTTGTAAAGACGCTTTTATGCAGGTTGGTACAATTCTTCACAGGTGACTCTTAAGCTGATAAGCAAAATGTAATAAGACAAAACAAGTAGTGGTAAGCAATTTAAAAGGAAAATGTAACACGCCATAGAAATAAAGTAAACTGTAAAGAAGCCCCTAAAAAGTTTTTAAAATAAATAGATTTCTAATCAATTTTTAAAGGTTTTTAAGCAAATCTGAGACCAGAAGTTTTGGTCTAAGCTGAAATCCTAAACTGACTAATGTTTGTAATTCAACTTTATTAGGTTTAAATTTCTTTTTTTACTATAGATTTAATTTGTTGTTATTCTAAAAATCTAATCTTGTTAATCACATACTGTATATCTATTTTGTGAGATGGAATAAATATATATAATAAGAATAATATATAATATAATAAATATATGTTCCAAGTATTTCATTCCTTTACAATTCCATTCTGGGAAGTTAATCATATTAGAAGTCGAATGCCTTTTATTGTGACTATACAGATGTACAATGAGATAAAGAGGATCTCCTACTCAGTGCAGACATGTGGGGAAAGGGGGGGGGCAGTTTCTACAGCACTACATATGAACAGTATTCAAAAATATAAAATGTATAAATATACAAATTGGGGGAAAAAATATTAAGACAGGGGTGTCAAAAATGCAGCCCATGGGCCACATCTGGCACGCGATACAATGTGGCCTGTGAGAACATTTCATATGTCAGTTATTAATTAATAAACTATATACAAAGTGCCCTTGACTGGCAGAGATGCAGTAATGTCTTCATGTAGCACAGAGCCATGGCTCAATGTCTGATTTCTAAATGAGTCTCACAGGTCTGAATGTGCACTTAAAACCATTTATAATTTGATCTGCTGCTCACTGGCCTCCTGAGAATGCAGACTTCAACATTGTTGAAGCAGTGTGGGATCATCTTGACAGAGAATGGAAGAAAAGACAGAAACATCCAAAGAAGAGCTTTAAAAGAAGCCTGGAGAACTATTTGTGACCGACATTGTAATTTAACCTGAAAAACTTTGTTATTTGTTGTTTTCACTGTAGAGGATGTGCAAAAGGGTGCAGCTAACTACGATATTGTACATTAGATGGAGGAGTTGTACAGGGAGATGGCCACAGCGAGGAATGATTTCCTGTGTTGTTCAGTGGTGCATTATGGGTAATCTCAGTCTCTCACTGAACATGCTCCTGTGACTGGCCACCAGGTAATGGAGTGGGTGGGAGGTATTGTCCAGCATTGTCCTTGTCTTGGACAACATCCGCCCCTCTGACACCACCTTAAGGGAGCTCCATCCCCACAGCATTACTGGTCTTGAGGTTCAGTGTATTGAGTCTTTTGGCGTCTGAGAGCCTCAACCAGCTGCTCCAGCGAGCAACAGCATAGAGAATGGTACTGGCCACACAGACTCATAAAAAATCCTCAGAAATGAAAGAAAGTTTTCCAACAAAGTTCAGGTTGTGCTGAAGAATGAAGATGGTCGTACCACTCCTGAATCAAGCCTAAAACTGCACTATGCAGCACAGCACTATATGTTTCTGTTGTACCATTCCAGATTAATAAGATGTGTCCATGGGTATGAGCCATGGATAGGAATAAATAATAGCTGTAGCTCTAGCCTTATACACTTGACGCACCTCTTTTTGGACAAGCTACTTACCTGCTTCAATTTAGATTTGTTTTTGTGCAGTGACGTTTCATATCAGTGGTTTCTCTGTATAGAAAACCCACACTGGGGCTGGTCAGTGTGGGTTTTTCTATTAGTATTCAACTTCATATATATTGGCCACTGACACTGATGTTCTTAATCATGTTAAATCAGTTTCTCCCTGTTATAATTCCACAGTGAAGCCCCTCCCTCTTTCTCCATTGGAAGCCCTGTCATCCACCCCGGTGGGCGGAGCCGGTGAACGACAGGCCTTAGAGTTGCGGGTTCGGGTGGTGGAGGAAGAGAACCGGGCGCTGCGCCGAGAACTTAGCCGTCCACCTAGGAGCCCATCTGCACAGCTTCCGAGCAATAATCACCGTGGCAACCAAAGCCGAACACATTCAGAGGAAGGCACAGGTGACAATGAGAGCCAGAAAGCTGTTACAGTGGGTAATAGCTCAGACTGTGTCCGACACCCAGTGGTGGATAAGTGCGAGGTGAGATATGTTTAATTTTGTCCTAGCAGGTTCCACAAGCAGGTTTTCTAATACTACAGTGTTCTACCCACAATAGACCATTCAAAGTTTCTGCTTCTACAGGATGCCTTTAGGCATATTTTAGCCTACTCTTCTAGTTAATTGCTGGCCTCCTCAACGAGATATAACTCTGTGACGTGGCTTGGTAATGTAAGCTTTAATATATCCATGTTGTGTTTGACACAGTATCAGTGTCCTGCCATGAATCATAACGTACTGTGATCCACAGATTCAAGAGCCCTCAAATCAGTTATGCTGAATCACATATTTCCCTCAATATCCTTTGTATGTGACAGAAGCCAATTGGGTGAGGGGTCTTTTGCCCACCTATTCTGGTTTTGCCCCACTCTTAACCGCATTCTGGTCTGCAGTGTTTCAGTGGTTTTCTGGATAATTTTTCTGTAACATTGCAATAACATTGCAAATCAAAATCTGGCAATATTTAGATGCTCCTCCGAGTCACATCAGCTGGCGCTCTATATTCAGATGGCTGTGCACCTTGGGATGGAGGTGGCAAATAAACTCATCCTACTGACTTGGAAGTCAGCTACCCAACCAAGTTTTGAACACTGGCTCAATGAGATGTCTGTTCTACAACTGAAAAAGCTTCAACTAAATACAGTTGGTACTAGAGACAAATTTGGGAGGATGTGGTGGCCTTTATTGGCTGAGTATAACATCAATCTGCGCTTATAAGAGCACTTTATGTCAACTCATTTTATGTCAGCTTTTTCTGTAGAGTGATTTGCTAATTCATTTGTTTATCCGAGGGTTCCTACTGTGACTATAACCTCTGTTTCTGTACCTTTTCTTCTTGTTGAACTTTCTCATGGTCTGGCAGCCGACATATTTGTCTGTTTCTTGTTTGAACTGTTTTTAATTAATTTTTTTATTTATATTCTCTACTAAACTGCTAAATAAGATATTGCTAAAAAATAGGCTTCAAATCATAAAAGCTCACCTCAATGACAAGAAGAGGACTTTCAGAATGGGCAACAGAGGTGAGAATGGTTCAGGCACTACTGAAGGACAAGGTCATAGAGGGTAAGGACGACTCCAGGAGAAAGCTGGAGTGGAAACTCCAGCAGAACAGCATGAGAGAGGCGTGACATGGCATGAATCACCTAATTCAGGCCCATCCAACAGCAGAGGAGCTGGGGACAATGAGGACAGAGCCAACGAGCTGAATGTGTTCTTCAACAGATTCAACACTGCAGTGAATGCTCACTCCCCTACTGACTTACCTGTAGTCAGCCTGCGATCCACAGCCACGCCACTCTCTCTACACATTGCACCATAGCTTCCTGTAAAAGTCCTGACACCCCTCCCCCAGGTATTACTTTCAGCCAGGTTCAGAGACAAATGAGAAGACTCCCCTTAGACAAGTCTGTTGGACCAGACGGGGTGAGTCCTCGTGTCCTCAAGGCCTGTGCCCTCCAGTGTTGTGGAGTCTTTCATAAATGAGTCAGAGTCGGCAGAGGATCCTGGTGCTGTGGAAGACATCATTCCGGTACCACAGACACCATGTCCCAGTGGCCCCCAGGGTTACAGACCTTTGGCTCTGACATCCCAAATCATGAAGACCCTGGAAAGACTCGTCTTTGACCAGCTCGACCTACTGTCAGGTCACATCAGGATCCCCTTTTCCAGTCCATTCAGAACTATCAGACCAACCCTCTTGGGTGATAAGCCGATAGCGATGCAGGTGGATGCCTCTTTTGTGTCCAGGATTGTTAATTACCTAAATGAATGACCACAATATGTGCGTCTTCAACATTTGTGTATGGCAAGGTGATCAGCAACACAGGGACACCACAAAGGACCAATTGTGGATGTTAGCAGGACCAGGAAAACTGCGACTCTGTTTCAGTCCATGCAGTTGATGTGAACATTGTGTAGGACTATAAATACCTCGGTGATAATAAACTGGATTGGATTAAAGAGACCACTACACTGTGCAGGAAGGGCCAGAGTCGTTTCTATTTTCTGGGGCAGCTAGTCTTTTAACATTTCTCAGACAATGCTTATTTCTCTGTACAACTCCTCCATCTAATGCACTGTACAGTTTAATAGTTACACCCTTAATATTTACTAGTGCTGTCAGCGTTAATCTCGTTAAAATGACGTTAATACAATAACTGCATTAACGCGGCAAATCTCCTTTAGCGAGTTAACGCGGATCACTCGGTGCGTGGGGCTGCACAGGGTCAACGCGTTAACAACGCTAACGGTAACGTCATTTTAACGAGGTTAATGCTGACAGCACAAATATTTACACATCCTCTACAGTGAAAATAAAGTTTTTAAGTTTAGAGTACAATTTAATCTCTGTAATATTCTGTATATTTATAATTGACCTATTTATATATAGACAAGATCTATTTGTTATATTTTGCAACTCTGTAATATGATGTATTATTTAATTTAGTTCAGTTACTGTCCTTATTGTCTGGGAGTGTGATAGACCGAGGTGAAAAAACAGGAGTCGTCCCAGGAATTATTAGAAAAATATAGTTTCCATTTATTTAACCCCCAAAATTATATTTACAAGACTAATAAATGTTGAGCTCATAAAAGAGGTCAAAGAAACAAAACTGAACTTAGGCACAGACTGCAAACTTAACAAACCAAATGACTGCTCAAACATACATAATTGACCTAAAACATGAAATGACATACAAGGGTATATACAGTGGGGCAAAAAAGTATTTAGTCAGCCACCGATTGTGCTACTTCGCCCACTTAAAATGATGACAGAGGTCAGTAATTTGCACCAGAGGTACACTTCAACTGTGAGAGACAGAATGTGAAAAAAAAATCCATGAATTCACATGGTAGGATTTGTAAAGAATTTATTCGTAAATCAGGGTGGAAAATAAGTATTTGGTCACCTCAAACAAGGAAAATCTCTGGCTCTCACAGACCTGTAACATCTTCTGTAAGAAGCTTTTCTGTCCCCCACTCGTTACCTGTATGAATGGCACCTGTTTGAACTCATCATCTGTATAAAAGACACCTGTCCACAGCCTCAAACAGTCAGACTCCAAACTCCGCCATGGCCAAGACCAAAGAGCTTTCGAAGGACACCAGGAAAAGTATTGTAGACCTGCACCAGACTGGGAAGAGTGAATCTACAATAGGCAAGCAGCTTGGTGTGAAAAAATCAACTGTGGGAGCAATCATCAGAAAATGGAAGACATACAAGACCACTGATAATCTCCCTCGATCTGGGGCTCCACGCAAGATCTCATCCCGTGGGGTCAAAATGATCATGAGAACGGTGAGCAAAGATCCCAGAACCACACGGGGGGACCTGGTGAATGACCTGCAGAGAGCTGGGACCAAAGTAACAAAGGTCACCATCAGTAACACACTACAACGGCAGGGAATCAAATCCCGCAGTGCCAGACGTGTTCCGCTGCTGAAGCCAGTGCATGTCCAGGCCCGTCTGAAGTTTGCCAGAGAGCACATGGATGATACAGCAGAGGATTGGGGGAATGTCATGTGGTCAGATGAAACCAAAGTAGAACTTTTTGGTATAAACTCAACTCGTCGTGTTTGGAGGAAGAAGAATACTGAGTTGCATCCCAAGAACACCATACCTACTGTGAAGCATGGGGGTGGAAACATCATGCTATGGGGCTGTTTTTCTGCCAAGGGGACAGGACGACTGATCCGTGTTAAGGACAGAATGAATGGGGCCATGTATCGTGAGATTTTGAGCCAAAACCTCCTTCCATCAGTGAGAACTTTGAAGATGAAACGAGGCTGGGTCTTCCAACATGACAATGATCCAAAACACACCGCCCGGGCAACAAAGGAGTGGCTCCGTAAGAAGCATTTGAAAGTCCTGGAGTGGCCTAGCCAGTCTCCAGACCTCAACCCCATAGAAAATCTGTGGCGGGAGTTGAAAGTCCGTGTTGCTCGGCGACAGCCCCAAAACATCACTGCTCTCGAGAAGATCTGCATGGAGGAATGGGCCAAAATACCAGCTACTATGTGTGAAAACCTGGTAAAGACCTATAGTAAACGTTTGACCTCTGTTATTGCCAACAAAGGTTATGTTACAAAGTATTGAGTTGTATTTTTGTTATTGACCAAATACTTATTTTCCACCCTGATTTACGAATAAATTCTTTACAAATCCTACCATGTGGATTCATGGATTTTTTTTTTTTTTCCACATTCTGTCTCTCACAGTTGAAGTGTACCTCTGGTGCAAATTACTGACCTCTGTCATCATTTTAGGTGGGGGAACTTGCACAATCGGTGGCTGACTAAATACTTTTTTGCCCCACTGTATAATGGCTGATCAGACCATTGTGACACATGAGGGGTAACAAACAAAACACAATCATAAATCACAACCGATGCAGTACAATCTAGTTTGTTAATAAACTAAACACTAAAGAAGAAAATCAAAAAAAACCCATTAAACCCTAAACTCAAATATTTAATTAAATACAAATACTTTGTTTTTAAAGTAAAGAAAACACACATTCCCCCCCTTCAGCAGGAAGTGGTGGTGTGGTCCAATTATCTTCCTTCATATTTAATGGTTTCAAACCCTAGCTACCATCTTTTGTCCAGCAACTCCCAGGGATGATGGCAGGTAAGAAATAAAAAGACAAAGGTTAGTCAGAAAGCAAAGAAATGAAGTAGTATGAATACATAAGTAAACTAAATGTGCGCGCTTACAAATAGAACAAATGTATCCAAACCAATCAATGAAGTTATTGGCAACTAAAATGTCTTCTTCATTACTATGTTCAAATGAAGAATGAAAATACAAAAGTTACCGACTTTAGAGTGTGGCCACGGGTTTGGCCATTACAGGGAGCAACCATAACCATACAATTTCCTTAGGGATTAATAATGTATGCTGATTCTGATTGATTCTGATTCTAATTTTACTTATATAGCACCAAATCACAGCAGCAGTTGTTTCAATGGGCTTTTTATTGCGATGTAAAGACCTTCCCAGGAGTGGCCAGCCAACCAAAATTACCCCACTCATCCAAGAGACGACTTATCCAAGAGGTCGCAAAAGAGCCAGAACAACATTGAAAGAACTGCAGGCCTCAATTGCCTCAATTAAGGTCAATGTTCATGACTCCACCATAAAAAAGAGACTGGACAAAAATGGCCTGCATGGCAAAGTTCCAACATGAAACCCCCTGCTGAGCAAAAGGAGCATAAAGGCTCATCTAAGTTTTGCCAGAAAACATCTTGATGAACCCCAAGATTCTTGTGAAAATATAAACTGATGAGACAAAAATTGAACTTTTTGGAAGTTGTGTGTCCCATTACATCTGGCATAAAAGTGATACAGCATTTCAGAAAAGGAGTGTCATAGCAACAGTAAAATATGGGGGTGGTAGTGTGAAGGTCTGAGGCTGTTTTGCTTTTGCAGAGCCTGGAAGACTTGCTGTGGTAAATGGAACCATGAATTCTGCCGTCTACCAAAATATCATAAAGGAGAACTTCCAGCCATCTGTTCAACTATATGTTGTGAAATCAACATATATTTGAGAATTATTAGAATATCTGCTCTAAATGTATGAAGATATTATCATATGAGTATATAGTATAGTATCATAAAAGTATTATCATATCTATTTCCTCAATCTTCTCATTAAAAATTCATTCGATTTTACAAAGCTTCATCTTACAGTTGAGTTTTATACACGTTTGAGAACTTTTGTTTGACAGTTACTATAATTGCCCTTTGGATTGAGGTGGAATGAGTTAATGAATGCTCCAACACACAATCACTGTTTTCTTTTTCTTTTACTAAGCCAATTCACAGTTATACTTTGTTCCTTGTGCTGTGCACATCTCTCCTACTTAATCGCTTTGTCATTTTCTCCTCAGACCATCCATGTGGCCATTGTATGTGCAGGTTACAACGCAAGTCGAGATGTGGTGACGCTGGTTAAATCTGTCCTCTTCCACAGGTACAGCAAATCTTTTCTCCTTCTCTTAAAATAACAGACTTGGTGGAGTATAAATCTTTTTTTCTTTTTCTTTTTGTGTACTCATATATACACACTGATTAGTTTATAATAATGTTTTCCAACAAATTGATGTATTCTGATAGAGTAGACTAGATACCAAAGTAAGACCCGGGCCTTTTAGTTATCAGTGTTATCCAGTTCAGGCCTGTCAGGTGATCTCAGCAGTTTATTGGTGTGAAATCGGTCTAACGATTGATGTACGGTTTGCACAGTTTGTCCTAACCCTAACCCAATTCAGGCAATCGGACTGCAAGATTGAGTTCCATATGGGCTGTGGCACGACATCCATTGCAATGGAAGATCATTCTCCTTCTGTGGATTTCCAGAAGGTCTAAAATTCGAAGTTCTCTGGGGACTTTGAGTCCTTTGATCTCCAAATCAAAAAATCTGACCTAAGAGCGAGGTCAGAGTTACTTCAAATGCACATTAACCATAGTTAACTGACAAATATCTATAAACATTTCTGCTTGAGGAATGAAGCATGAACAAAATTAGTTTTAAATTCAAGTTCTGTTTTTATTGTATTGTACAAATGACAAGTTCAAAATGTTTCTACATTTCACCAGTCATGAAACCAGAGTTAGTTTTGTTCTCCTAAAGTAATGCAAGTCACTTTGCATCAGAAATGGCTGTGACTTCACCACTTGAGGGAATAGCCCCTGGTGAGTTTTTGAAACTTTGCTCTGTTAAGCTAAGCTAAGCTTAAGCCTTGGAATAAATATTGCACAATAGATATCAGTGGGTTTCCCAAGTGGGTGTGCTGCAGTCTTTCTGGTTGAAGTCTGCTTCTGACTGAATGCCTAATAGTGTCCATTTTTTTAACCTTCCACACTTTGCTGTGAATCTTTGTTGTTAATGGCCTTAGGGTCAATGTTAGAGTCTTCTCCACTTCGGAGAACGTCTCCCTAGAAAGTGGACATGTCTGCTAAGTCACTTTCATTTTCGGGAGCATCAGCAGTCAAGTGTTTTTCACTCTACAGTGGTCTCTGGATTATCATGAAACAAGTTTTCTCTGATCACTGTGTCATCGACGCCTAAGCAGTCTTCAGTTAAACTTGGCTGCACTATCTCACTATCAGCTCTATCAAAGTATGATTTAGGAACCTCATATATTGTGGTGAATTGGGTGGTTTCTTTGGGAAGCCTCTCATGAAGCCGGATGGTATCCTCCTCTGTCTCAGAAGGCTCAGTCTCATCATACTATTTAGCTGATAACCGCGTTATTGGCTTGTGCTTGAATTTTGTCGTAACAGGCTTCTCCCCAGTTGGTGTGATGAAGCCACACGGGAGTAAGAGAACTTGATGAACAGTTCGCCAAGAAGCTTCTTTGTTCTCAGGTTTTATGGTGTAAATTGGGAGATCTCTATCTTGTTTTACCGCAACATAAACATCTGACTCCCACTCAGCAAGTTTATATTTCCCTCTCAGGCAGACAGCATGCACTAAAACAGACAATCTGGTTTGACAACCACACATTAATTCATAAGATGAGAATCCTGTTACATCATTCTTTGTACAATTGTACGGATGGACCGACAGTTTCGAATAGCTATGCCACTGTGATTTGCCTTTGTTTTCCAATGTGCCAAACATGTTCAGCAAAGTCCTATTAAAATAGTCCACAGTGTTTCCACTGGTAGGGTGGTAGGGTGTGGTATGTATTTTGTGAACACCCATGATTTTGCAAAGTTCTTTGATGATGTGTGATTCAAAGTCTGGCCCTTGGTTACTGTGCAAATGTTCAAGAATCCCATAGCGGACAATGAAATTACCCCACAGACAATTGGCTGTTTGAGCTTTCTGGTTTGGTGTTGGGATTGCAATGGCTTACTTAATAAACTGGTCTGTAAGTACAAAAATGTCCTTAATATTACTCAGGCTCTTTTGGTCCTTTGAACATGATAGGCTCAAAGGAGCAGCGCTTTCAGGAAGGAACTTTCTCAGAACACAGTGTTAACAGGTTTTAATCTTTTCTCTCAAAATCTTTCCCTCAACATCTGCTTGGCCAGTAAAATCTTGTTCTCACCGAGGTTGAGAGTATGTACAATGCGTAAGCCTCCCATATCATCATGGAGACTCTGGAGGACTGCATCTCGAAACTGTTCCGGAAGAACAGTGTGTCAGGTTACAGAATCAACAACTTGATGTGTCCGGTACAGTATTTGATTGTGTAGCTCAAGAAGACTGAATTGTCTAATTAGCAAGGGGATATCAGGCAGTTGCTTTCTAAAGTTGGGTTAAACCTTGTTCCCAGTCTCAAGTTGAGCTATGGTTTCCCTCAAACATGGGTCAGCTTGTTGATTGGCTCTTAGCTGCTTTACTGGCATGTGGGGAATAACTAGTAAATCATCACACTGATCTTCATTTACAAACTCATCTGGTATAGCAGCTACAGACAAGGCTGAGTGTACTAGGGTGAACGCACACTCCACGTCTATGTTTTCACTTGGATTACAGCCAAGGAGATGCTTCTCACAGATAGCTGGTACCACATCTGGGCCAACTGTGATTCCTTGACCAGACAGATCTGTTTCAGTGAACCACTGTTCACTGAATGTACGTTCCTGCTCTTTTTTGTGAAACAGTGTCATTGAGCAGTTTTCGATGTGGTCACATTGAAAGACCATCTGCATCAGAATTCAGCTTTCCAGCTCTGCACTGAAGCTAAAAGTTAAACATAGAAAGTGCTGCTAGCCAACGATAGCTCACTGCATATACACTCAACAAAAATATAAACGCAACACCTTTGTTACTGCTCCCATTCCCCATGGGATGGACGTAGAGACCTAAAATTCATCCCAGATACACAATATAACCATCCCTCCCAAACAGTGGTCACAAATCAGTCCAAATGTGTGGTAGTGGGCACATCTGCTATATTGAGATAATCCATCCCACCTCACAGGTGTGCCACATCAGGATGCTGATCTGACATCATGAGTAGTGCACAGGTGTACCTCAGACTGCCCACAACAAAAGGCCACCCTGGAATGTGCAGTTTTGTCTCACAGCAAAATGCCACAGATGCCACAAGCAATGAGGGAGCGTGCAATTGGCATGCTGACAGCAGGAATGTCAACCAGATCTGTCGCCCGTGCATTGAATGTTCATTTCTCAACCATAAGCCGTCTCCACAGGCGTTTCAGAGAATATGGCAGCACATCCAACCGGCCTCACAACCGCAGACCTCGTGTAACCACACCAGCCCAGGACCTCCACATCCAGCAGGTTCACCTCCAAGATCGTCTGAGACCAGCCACCCAGACAGCTGCTGGAACAATTGGTTTGCACAACCAAACAATTTCTGCACAAACTGTCAGAAACCATCTCAGGGACGCTCAACTGCATGCCCGTCGTCCTCATCGGGGTCTTGACCTGACTCCAGCTCGTCGGCGTAACAGACTTGTGTGGGCAAATGCTCACATTCGATGGCGTCTGGCACGTTGGAGAGGTGTGCGCTTCACGGATGAATCATGGTTCACATTGTTCAGGGCAGATGGCAGCTGAGAATGTTCCAGTTCTTGCATGGCCAGCATACTCACCGGACATGTCACCCATTGAGCATGTTTGGGATGTGCTTGACCGGCGTATACGACAGCGTGTACCAGTTCCCACGAATATCCAACAACCTCGCACAGCCATTGAAGTGGAGTGGACCAACATTCCACAGGCCACAATTGACAATCTGATAGACTCCATGCGACGATGTGTTGCACTGCATGAGGCAAATGGTGGTCACACCAGATACTGACCGGTTCTGGGTCCCCAGACCCCCAATAGCGCAAAAAACTGCACATTCCAGGGTGGCCTTTTGTTGTGGGCAGTCTGAGGTACACCTGTGCACTACTCATGATGTCAGATCAGCATCCTGATGTGGCACACCTGTGAGGTGGGATGGATTATCTCAATATAGCAGATGTGCCCACTACCACACATTTGGACTGATTTGTGACCACTGTTTGGGAGGGATGGTTATATTGTGTATCTGGAATGAATTTTAGGTCTCTACGTCCATCCCATGGGGAATGGGAGCAGTAACAAAGGTGTTGCGTTTATATTTTTGTTGAGTGTATTAAAGGACTACTGTCACTGAACTGGCTACCATAAAGGTAATCACAAAGTTTTTTTGTAACTGCCCACTTTCGGGCTAAAAACTCTAATTTGTGGGCATGGTAATGAGACTCACGCTTACACAAAACCCTGCTATCATATGCTGTGACTCGTATCAGGAGCAGGAGGGTCAGATAAAAGGCAGTACCAAGTCCCATAGTGATAGGATCGGTATTGATTTAATTTCAATTCAATTTTATTTATACAGCGCCAAATCACCAACAACAGTCACCTCAAGATCCTTTGTATTTTAAGGTAGACCCTACAATAATACATACAGAGAAAAACCCAACAATCATATGACCCCCTATGAGCAAGGACTTTGGCGACAGTGGGAAGGAAAAACTCCCTTTTAACAGGAAGAAACCCCCAGCAGAACTAGGGAGGGATGGCCAGCCAGATTTTAAGTCGAGGACAGAGAACCACTGGGACTCACTCAGCGTGGAGAAGGTCTCCTCCAAATTCGGGAGCGCGTAAGCATCTTTCACTGTCTGCAAATTGAGTTTCCTGTAATCAACACAGAGACACATGTTCCCATTCTTTTTCCTCACCACCACTATGGGCGAAGAGAATGGTGACGTGGACTCCCTGATTACACCTGGCTGTTCTTGCAAATGCTTTTGGACAGCTTTACTGTGCTTAAATGGAATCTCATCAGACAGCTTACCCAGTGTTTTACCTGATCTCCCAAAGTCAAGTCATCTAGAACCACTAATGCAAGTGTGAGAACTTCAACCTCAGCACCCAAAAAGTCCTTGGGGAATACAACATTAATCTCAATGTAGCCTAGATAATGCATAGATTAGCCATTGGCTTCTTTAACCTCCAAAAGCTCAAGGATTGCTCTGATCTCATGTTGTGGCATGTTCTGATTGTAAAAAGACTCGGGAACTGTGGTAACCTGGGAGCCTGTATCCATTATGCAGCTATCACAATTGCCCTCCATTTGAACCTGTGCTGTAGTTTTTACCCCTATCAAACCTTTGGGTAATTTGAAATTACCTCGCTCAGCATGCAATGTTAATATCACACACTTCTTAGCGGTCACTTTAGGCTTCTTATCAGTCATATGTGTTTGACCCGTAGCATTTCCCATCTGTCTCACAACAGGGAATGTCTTCAGTTTAATGAAGGTGTGTTCCTTTGCTGGCGTTCCCATAACTGCTGACAATTCTTAGTTCCTTCTTTTTTGCAGCTACCAAGGCATGAGTTGAATCTGACTCACACGTGGCCACAATGTGACCATCCTCTCCACAATGAAAACACTACCACAGTTTTGGCTTTAAAGTAGAGGTGCTGTGTAAGAGGGCCCTGGTTTGGTCTTTGCATGGTCAGGTTTTTTTAGTTTCATCTTTCTGTATCTGTTCTTTCTTAGAAGCTGTGGTTTTCATTTGTTCCATGAGGGAAATCAATTGGCTTTTCAGGTCAGCTTTTTCAGATTTTTTTAACCTGCTGATGTCGCTTGATGCAGATTCAGCCTGTATTTCACTTGCTGAACATTCTGTCTATGGGAGACAACCTTCAGTTTTGTAGTACAGAGGTGCAGTTTTATTCAACTACTTTCTGTTTCTTGCCTATGTTCTGCAGTACGCAGCAGCCACAAAAGCTCAGCAAGTGATGGGGGTTCTTGATTCTTAAGTTCTAGCTGCAGAACAGCAAGCAAGTCATGGTCTCAACAGCCACTGTAAAACTGTTTCAGGAAGTGTTTGTTGACCTGTTGTGGCTGTATACCTCCCCTATATACAATGCGGTCAATGCCACCTGCAAGCGATGCAAGTAAGCCATAATAATCTTGCTACGTGTTCATGAACCTCACCAACAGTTCCTCCCCATCCTCAGCTGTGCCAAATGCAGAGTCTAACAACTGCAGGTAGGTAGTTGGTGGCACGTTGGGTCCAAAATGTCTAACTACATCTGAAGCTGGAATAAGAAGGCTCTTGAGTTTTTATGAGTCTTCTCCAAGTCAGAAACAGAAGTGTCCATCATTAGATCAACATGACCGTTCTGCCTAATTGTGTTTTATATAAATGACTGGCTACATACTTGGTACGTCAAAGACAACTCATTGGGCTCCCCTTCACTAAAGAAGTGAAAACATGATGGATCCTCCTCCTGAGCAGACAGTTGCCTGAGCAGTCATCCTGTTGGATTGTTCTGACTGTGTAGGGAATCCTGGTGAATCAAAATGTGGAACAGCATCTAGGACACTGATCAACAGATCCACTCTGACCTTGTGACAAGATTTAAACAAAATTACTTAATATTGGTATTTCTTCCCTCTATTGTCACCTTGTAATTCATTATTGAATATGCTATTAATTCCCTGTGAAACAAGCTTAAAGATGTGTGCCATTTCATTCTTTATATTTACTGTTCTGCCGCTTAATTTCTGCCGCTAGATGTTTTAGCAAATGAATTTTTTGCTACCAGTGAATCTCTTGCCTAAATGATGGAGAGCCTTGTAGAAGAGCCTGTCTGTGTGACTGATGCTGTCACTCCTGAGAGATGGCCTTTTTATGCTGCACTCTGTCACATAGTGGAGGTTCTTATCATTGTCTTCTGTTCAGCAGCAACTGTATATGTCCTGTCTCAATAATACAACCTCAGCAGAAAAATAATGTCATCAGTTTCAAAATGAGCCTATTTTGTCTTTGCTATTTTCTGACACGTAAGCTAAGATAAATTGACTGGTTGTTATATAAAGTGTGACAAGCACTCAAAGCGCTTTGTACAACATGCCTCATTCACCCACTCATAGAAGCACTTTTGTTTTTTACTACACATAAGTGCTTTCTGTCACACTCTGATGAATGCATGACCTCTACTTCCTGAGCTACATCCACCCTGCATTACAATGGTGTATGCTAATATTAAGACAAATACAAAAAGTTGAGATCAGCGTGCAGGAAATCTCTATGACCTAGCAGCTCAGGCTTCAGACTGCTCGAAGCACTCAGTTTCAGAGAGTTTTTCCTACTCTTGGCTCTGTTCGATGTCAGTGAGAGCGAATATATTTCTGTGTGGTCATCTCAGTCACACATCTGTGACTGTGAGCCACTCTTGTGTTTTTTAAGGCTAAAGTGGCCTGTTCCAGACAGATAACCTCAAGGGCTGCACCAGGGAAAAAGTAAATACTGTTGCCATAGTAACATGACGTTGTTACAGGTCTACAAAAAAAAGCTTTCTAAGCAAGAGGTTTGGCTGAACAATTTTTGAAAAATGAATGTGGACAATGTATGCCCATTCAACAGTTGTTACTTTTAACTATGACTACCATACCTTCCCTACATATCTAGTTTCTAATTAGTTACCATTTCCAAAAGTGTTACAAGTAATGAGGTATGATCAAAAGATTCTGAGAACAGATCTATAAAATCAAAAGCCTTATCTGATATAAATATGGCCACTGTGACACTGAAGGTCAAGGAAGTTATAGAAGGCCAAAGGTGATGGCTGGTTGAGTCAGTGAGTGAGCATTGTCTTGGTGCAGGTTTGAGCCTGCACAAGATGGGACTCTTTTACGCACCACGGTTCTGATGTTTCGGCTAAATTTTCTCTGTCATTGTTGAATATCTTAAAAGAGCACGATGAGGGTCTTGATCTTACTTTGGAAACTGTAGTCTCTTGCACTGAAAACTGCTCTACCACACTTGAGCTCTCATCTTCAGTGAGGGTCTCTCACAGAAAAGTTGGGGCGGTTTAAAAGAGAAGTGGATGTAAATTTAAACTTCTAAAAATGTACAGTAGACTGGCACACCACACAGCAGAAGCAGTCAGTCGAGTATATTAAATAAACAGATATATTAGATATGTTGAAGCACAGTCGTATAGGATATTGTGAGGCTGACAGCCAATGGTCTGACTGTTTGGGCACTGAGAGGGGAAAAGGTGCCCCAGTTGCACACAGTCTGTTGTAGTTTAGGATAATCCTTCACTCTGAGCAGATATGAGCACAGTGGATCTTAGTGTCTTTCACCAAATCCACAAGAAAACGCCGTTGCATCATGAGGATGAAATTGTCATGGGTCACTACAGCCTAATAGTTTTTATAATCAGATGTACGTGACACTTTATTTTTAGCACAATTCTAATCGTCCCATCAAAACCTTGTTGCTGTTTATCCAAAGGATGTGAAGGTCTTTTCAATGTGCACTGCTGTGTTGACAGCTTTTCTGATTTTCTGGGTTCTGATACATTCTGACAGCTCCCAGCCTTCAGTGCTTATTGAGCCAGTGCAGCTGACACATTGATACACAAAGTCAATCAGCATAAGACACCCCCGGGTGCTCATATCCTCAGCTTAGTGTCACTTTCCTGTGACCTGATTCGGAAGTCCTGAACACCTATTTTATACCCCCATCCCTCACACCTCTTCCCTGAGCTGAAATGAGATGTAAGATTATCATCTCTCCATCAGTGTGCCATGTCTGTCTCTTGCAGCCTTAGGGTTTAACACGTGCATTTATTAATGCTGAAGCTGAAACAACTGGACTTGTTTTCTTGTTTTGGAGTTCTCAAGCATATCACATAGTCTTATTGACCAGGAAAAGTACAGTTTATATTTATGTGCTAAACAAGAAAAGATTGGGTTCTAAGACAACAGGAAAGATGAGTGCATTTTGAAATGGATGTGAAAACAGTTTCCATTCCTGTACCTGTACGTCTTGTGCCTTATTAAACTCAGTCTCTCACAAACTTTGCTAAAATGGTTATTCTTCTAGCGGACAGCTCATGTAAATAAACGCAATGAAAAAATGTGGCTGCTCATTTAATATGCCATCTGTGTGTTAGACATCATGATGTGTGATGAACATTTTTCAGAGAATATGAGAAACACATATGTGGATCATGGGCACATTGGTGACGTTTTGCAGAATTTATTTCAAGTTTCTTGTAAAAATGGACAGTTTGTCCTTTCCAAACTCCCACTGTGCATGTACTGAATGTTTTGTGATATGATGCAGGAAGTAAAAGTAAAAGCCGTGAATTCATTGGAGCTTGGTATTTGTGTGTGTCTACAGGCGGAATCCCCTTCATTTCCATTTCATCACAGACTCCATTGCTCAGCAGATCCTGTCCTCCTTGTTTCATACATGGATGGTTCCTGCCGTCAGGGTGGACTTCTATGACGCAGATGAGCTGAAGGTGGGGAACACAGACTCCATCACCCTGCTTTACTGATTGGGCTGCTTAATGATCTCATGGCTACTGCTTTATTTAATGCGAAACATTATGAGCTATTTCTATTTAACAGTAAATGATCCCAACCCTTATTTCCTCTTGTGTTTCAGTCCGAAGTCTCATGGATTCCTAACAAACATTACTCTGGGATTTATGGGCTAATGAAACTGGTACTGACAAAGACCCTGCCATCAGATCTACAGAGAGTCATCGTTCTAGACACAGACATCACCTTTGCCACTGACATTGCTGAACTCTGGGCCGTCTTCCACAAGTTCAAAGGTAATGCAACTCCTTTTCTCTCAGATGGCCCCGCCCCTCCCTGTTTGGTGTTTCTCTGTATTATTGTAGAGTCTTTGAACTCTGAACTTAAAAATGCAAAGCTGAGATAATTTGGACATGCAGAGGAGTGAGAGTGGATATACTGATCAACAGATGGTTAACATGGACTGAAAGCATGAGGAAAAGAGAAAGACCTCAGAGGAGGTTAATGTATGCAGAGGCTGGAGGATACAGGGACATGGTGAGATGAAGACAGATGATCCAGCGTAGCAAGCTCAAAAGGAAGCAGCTAAAAGAAGGAGAAAAGAATAATGATAAAGAAAATAAAGTGCCACAAGGTGACTGCTTTTGGGATTTGGTAAGAATAAATAAAACTTAGTTGAACTAAACATACAACATTCCTCTGTTCCCACTTTTATGAAATGTAAAAAGCTTAGTTTTGTTATAGAAACTGTTGTCCAGACACGTTGCTATTATTGTTTCTACTGAAAATGTCAAGCGTCCTCATATCAGTGAGAGTAACAGAAAAACCTCTCTGTGTGATGCACTTCAATAGCATCGCAAACTAAAACCTCCAAAATGTTCTTATTCTTTAATCAACACTTCTCCAGTTCTACCTTCATAAAAGATGTGATATACTGGATTAGTTTCACTGACGTGCACCTATAATTTGTTCTGTGAAGTATGTGCACTGGCCTGTTCTGTTCTTCTTATTCTAAATGTGGGAATTCTTCTTTGTTTGGATACCTAACCTGCTTCAGTATATTGAGGATACTACAGAGCTCTACATGCTGAGCATGTTTGTCCAGTCTAATGTAACTGCTGGGAGAATGGGCCTTCTGGAGGCATGCAGCCGCGAGCTCTTCAACAAGCGACCCTCCTCCCAGCTTCCATTCATAAGCGAAAGCCAGGATCACGGGGCAATATTTCACCATCATATGATCACAGTTTGATTGCGTTAGTGTAATAACATCATGGCAGGAGATGCAATTTATATTTAATTTACACATTAAGTCTCTGGCAAGCAAATTGACGGGACACAGATCAGACCACAGAGACCCGTGTCTGAATTTCTGCCCCTGCCCTTCTACACAAGACGGGGCTACGGTGAAATTTTCCCTCTGAACGGTTCCTGATGCAAATCCAGAATGAGTGAACTTCTCACTTAAGACAGCCTGTGGAAAGAGAGAATCTGAGCATAACACAGAATGAGTGGCCCCGGAATCTGCAAGAAATTCCACTTCCTGACCACAAACTAACGAGGAGTGATTTATAAGGTGCACTATCTGAATGTACATATGTACCAGCCGGCAACGCAGAAACATTACAAGTTACAAGTAACGTGTTATTGTAATCTGATTACCTTTTTCAGGTAATGAGTAAAGTAAGGGATTACTATTAACCCCTTACTTCACTCATTACTTGAAAAAAGTAATTAGATGACTGTTACTTTCTCATAAGCACGCTGCGTTACTGCGTCACCAAACCATGATTTTGTAAAGCGTAAAAAAGTAACTACATTACTTTGAGTTTGATTCTGTAAAAAGGGACAGAAACATTAATAATGTGTACTTTATTGATCCCTGTGGGGAAATTACTTTCTGCATTTGATCCATTCACTCAGTGAAGCAGTGGGCAGCCACTAAGCAGGCGCAGGGGAGCAGCGTGTAGGGACGGTACCTTGCTCAGGGGTACCTCAGGGTAGCCGTTCAGTGGATTCAAACCCCCGACCTTCCGATCATGGGGCGACCACTCTACCTACTGAGCTATCCCTGCCCCCTTAGCGTCTGCTGTGAACTGTGCGTGGGAAGAAAATCTGAGCAAACACCGAGCACACTGCCACAGGAATGTGAAATTCACAGAGAAACCCCCAGATCCCCCCACTGACATGACTGCTACAGTACCGGGCAAACCTCCACCCGCCCCACTCCTGCTAAACAGGTGAAAATAGATTTAAGAGCAACAGGACTCAGTGCAGCTGAATCTTTGATTTTATTTAATCTTTGCTGTGTTTTACTTGCATCTATTTGAAAGAGTGAGTGTAAACACAAAAAATTATTTTATTTTATATTTTTGAAATATGCAGAAAACAGGTTTAAATGTTAAACAAATTTCTTCAAGTCAAAGACAGCTACATATAATTTTTGCTTAATGCAATGTGCATAAAATGTAAACATTAAAACTCGTAAAACAAATTTTAAAAAGAGACTTTTTTCATTTGATTAATTTTATATGATGGATTATGCAGAAAAAATAGAATTGGGTTGAAAGGTCTATTGTTTTATTACGTATTCAGGTTGTGTATCATATTTTTAACAAGTAACTGAGTACTAACGCAACTAATTACTTCTGAATATAAGTAATCAGTAAAGTAATGGGATTTCTTTCTTGGAGAAGTAATCAGTAATTAGTAACTAATTACTATCTTCTAGTAAGTTGACCAACACTGCTAATAAGTTCATTAAAAATAATATGTTGAAAAATGTTACAGGAACCTAAGCTATTTGAGTTAGTAGTGTGTGTGAATGGGTGGATGTCTGGCTGTGTAAAGCGCTTTGGGGTCCTTAGGGACTAGTAAAGCGCTATACAATACAGGCCATTTACCATTTTAGTAGGAGTGTTTTTAAAAAATAAGTTTACATTAATTTATTTTAGTTTGAGTGTTTGGGTTTACAGCTAGATTACACCTCTTAGGGTGAGTAATTGGGCCAAAGAGCTGCGCCCTGTCTCTGTCACTACCACTCACACTCCTGCTTAGTTCAGTGTCAATAAAAGTGATTTGATTTGATTTGATTTGATTTGCTGTAGGAACATTCGGACAGTGCTGTTTTTGATGTATTTCATGATGCAGTCTAACACTGAATAACTGTTCCCTGTGTTTTTTTTTTTCACTTGGAACTCAACTAATTTCATACAAATATTGTGGCCATCCAGTTTGATTAACCTTTATAAACTATAGCTTTTTGTATTTGAGCTCTAATTATCCTGCTCAGGCAGATCTGCGTTCTTTGTTTCGTAGCCTTTGTAAAGGAGCACCCTGCTCTCTGCTGCCTGCTGCAATAAGCTCTCATTAATCTTCCTTATAGCCTTCATTAAACCTGCCACCACTGCACCCATGCTCTTCTCTCCAGGCTCCCACTGCCTCTTTCCTCAACCTTTATCTCTGCCCAGCTTCCTTCAATAATCTCTCACCTTAAAGCCCGCATACTCCCCTCCTCCTCTCTTCTCTTAATCTCCCAGTTATATTTAATTCCACCCACTTGCTGTCTTTATACTTTTTGTTCAGTGACTCAAAAGCTTTAAATGCATGAGTGAATTCAATTCTTGCTTCTTTTTATTGCAGCGTGGTTCCATTTATGAGGCAGCAATTAAAGTTTTTGACACTTTGTTGTGAATTTAACATAAAAGCTGGTTTTATGATATGATTAGGTTTCTATTGGATCTGGATGTTATGATATTTGACCCTAAAGTGTCTGCTACTCAGTGGCGTGTCTAGAAAATTTTTGTTGGGGGGGGGCCAGGTAGGGGCACAGATTTGGAGAAGTGTGGCAGATTTAATTGGCAGATAATGTTTAAAAAAAAAAAATTCTACCAACCGTTAACCATAATTCAATAATCCTATAAACCTAATAACCAAATGCACTTTTAACTCTTATTAGAATGAGATTTTAACCACTACGGTGCAAAGTTTTTAGATACTGCGTTGATAAAGTACAAGAGATACAATCAGTGCTTTGTCAGTGTTTACTCAGCATTCAAGGACAGCAATATTTGCATAGTATTTTTACTGACATATAGTGCACATATGTTTTGGGCAAAAACATTTTTGAAAATTAAAATACGAACATTTGTAACAAACAATTGACAAATTAGCCAGTTCCAATGCAAAACTTTATCTGCCTGTTAAAAAAAGAAGATAATCTTCTCACAAACTGGTGTTTGATTTTGAAACAGGAAAAAAGTGGGGAAACAAATGAAAAGACTAACATTTGAATAAAACCTGAAAGCAAGTAAATACTTTCTATGCTGCCTTATGGTAAACTTTGGTAATATTGATAAAGAACAACACTGGCTGATGATAAAATACAGTCAGCTGGCATGGTGACACTGCCAGTATTAACCTGCAGGGCTGGACTGGGACAAAAAAATTGGGCATTTTTACTACAGACCGACCCACCAGGTATTAAAGCCATAAAGACTTTGACTGAAAACAAACCCTGTTGTGACAGTGATGTACAGTCTTGTTGGTATATGTATGATTTCTATACATTTTACGTCAGATAAAAACTTTGGTTGTAAGATTTAGATAATTATTTAATAAAAACTAGGTATTTTAAATGAGAATAAGAAAGAAAAGTATTTCTTTGTGCCCACCTCTCTCGGAAACAGTTCATAACTTCCCTTCAACTCATTCATGTCACCTAAAAGGTAAACCTGTTTCTCCATCACCTGTTCAGCTCTGATGATTCAGTAAGGACATCTCCTGGTTTCATCTTCATGTTTCCCTCTCACCACATATCTAAACAGACATCATGACCAGCAGCTTTACAGCTGTGGCTCCAGCAAACATCAGCTGATACTAGAAATTAATATTAAATACATTCTAACAACAGCTGATCAAGCTTAAACGTGCTGCTGTTGTTTAGCGCGACATCCGCTGGTTTCCTCTTTCTGGCGCAAAGTGGGCGATAAACAAGAGAGAAAAGCCGATCAGCTGATCATTGATCAGTTTCATGATTAAAGTAGCAACAGGAGAGGGAGGGGGAGAGAATGAGAGAAGAAGAGGCAGCTGTGCAGCATAAAGACAGAATAAATCCAGCTTTGTGTCTTTTTTCATTCTAGCTGAAGTTCGGGACAAACTGCGTCTCTTCTCAGCTCAATACGAAACGCGTAATATTTTCTCTGAATGAGGGACCATTCCATTTTTTTAAGGAGCCGTTGGCAACTCTACTAACTAACCTTATGAATAAAATAAAGTTCACTATCAGTAACATCATAGCACCCACCCAGCTGTATAAAAACTCCGTCAAACTGGCTAGAACGCAGTATGAGTTATTGCAACTGACAGTAAAAAGTCAGCAACATGAAAATAAACTCCACCTAAACTTGGTTTATATCTGACCCAGATAGACTGCAGGTCATAACTTCTTACCTGAAGTTCAGTTCACCTGACACTCGGACTGGTGGCTGCTTCGGGTCTCTCCTCCTGCCTCCCCTTCCCTCATCCACCTGTTGCCTCTGTGGAAGCCCCGTCATAGCCACCACCAAACAACGGAGTTATTTCTACACATCGACCTGCATCTGGCCAATCCACCACCTCTCATTGTTCATGCCATTACAAAAAAAATAAAAAATAAGTCACTGGGGATATGCCCGGTATGCCCGATGGCCAGTCCAGCTATGTTAACCTGCAACCAAATCTGCAGCTCCATACAGCAACGTTACGACTTAGATTATATCTTATAACTCATAACTCTTATGTTAGCTGCCCTCAGTAGCATACTGTCTGAAATATTCGAGGGCTGCAATAATTCTTTAAGTGTTATTTTTTCCTTGGTATTCTAATTTCACCGAAGTTTACTAAACTCAACAAACTTAATATTACTTACCGGGACATTTATTCTGTCCTCATTTTCTTTCACCGAAAAATTGTTTCCTGCAGTGCCGTCTTTCGGCTTGGCTCTCCTACCTTTGCTAACGTGATGCGCATAGCGCAGACGCGATGCTGCATTCACTTACACTCGGATATCTGAGCGTCACCGTGAAAACATAATCGGACATTTGATATTTGATTGAATTTTATTGTTTTGCCTTTGGGGTGGCACCTGGGGTGGCCAGTCTGGTTTGGGGGGTGGCCTGTGCCCCCCCAGGCCACCCCGCTGGACACGCCATTGCTGCTACTGATGCGTCCAGCTTCCAGCTTGGTGACCTTTCTTGCAGAGAGACAATTGATAGGAGAGAACTCCACACAGAAAAGCCCCGGCCAGATAGTGAATTCAAACCCAAGACCTTCTTGCTCTGAGGCAACAGTTTTTCACTCCACTATTAAGCTCATGTTATGTCATTCGTGCAGTTTTAATCTACTGTTACTGCTATTGAAACACTTTCTCAAATGATGCAGTCAACCCGCTCTAGAAACGAGCAGATTGTTTCTATAAATTCTCTTATCTAAACAATCTACATACGTCCTTTCAAAGTCTTGCTGAACTCGGAGTGCGGAGTAGAGAGACATTGGACCCAAATGCAGACGCTTTGGACGGACTTAAACCAAAAGTGAGCCTTTATTAGCAGCGGAACAGGACACAAATGCAACATGAAAAGAGACAACGAATAAACTACAAAGCCTAAACTGGGAAGAAACTAAAACATAGGCTCATAGCAAAATAACCGGCATGAAATGGGGAAAGTAGAACCCTCAGGGGAGATACACAGTCCATCCAGCAGCAAACCTTAAATACACAGAGGGGTAACGAGAGGATGGGAAACAGGTGGGAACACAGCTGGAGCTAATCTAACAAAATGAGACAGAAAACATGATACATTCACAAAGATGCAGACTTGAGGCTGAGACATGGAGACACGACTGACTAGGGAGACACAGGAAATGCAGAACATAGAGACAAGGGTGTCTCGACATGAAACAAGGAACACCGACTATACGCAGGCTAGATAAAAGTTGAGGAAGAACTAAGATCACTATTAACCTAAGAAATAAAGATAACCAAAACCATGAATAACAATAATCAAAGAATATTATATTATATAAATCAAAAAACACAAACACTGGGTCACCAGATCCAGGACTGTGGCATACAGTTATTCCTCCCAATATAATCATGATGTTTTGTCCTCATCCCTTATGAAATGCCTTTATTTTTTTCCTCAAAATACTACAAATCAGTAATTACTAATGACATTGCAGCCACTGTGCAGCAGGTTAGAGTTGAATGAATTGAAGGTTGTGGAGATAAAAAGGTGCTTGTTTGAGACAAAAAAAAAAACAAAAAACAAGTGAGAACAGTCATGATATGTATGTGTGTGGCAGGCCAGCAAGTTCTAGGTCTGGTAGAGAACCAGAGTGACTGGTATCTGGGGAACCTGTGGAAGAACCATCGACCCTGGCCAGCACTGGGCAGAGGCTTTAACACTGGTGAGTACCTTATAACCTGCTTTTAGCATGTTAGCTGTGTAAAGCAAAGTCTAGATGACTGAATTTAAGAAAGGAAACAAAATGAGAAAATGTGAATGAGAAACAACACTTCTGGCACTGCGTCTAGCTGGTCTTAAGGAAGAGCTGGCCTTCCTTAAGACCAGCTAGACGCCAATCACTCTGTTTCTTAAGCTACCATCTTTGTTTGTACCTTTTTTGTGTGTGTGTGTGTGTGTGTGTGTGTGTGTGTGTGTGTGTGTGTGTGTTTGAGCGTGTGTGTGTCCACTTTACAGGGGTTATTTTGCTCCTCCTGGATCGTCTGCGAAAGCTCAGATGGGAGCAGATGTGGAGACTGACTGCAGAAAGGGAACTAATGAGCATGCTGTCCACTTCCTTGGCAGACCAGGTAAGACACAAACACACACACACACACACACACACACACACACACACACACACACACACACACACACTGTCATAGCTCACATCACAATTGTGTCATTTAAATTGTGAAAACAGCTGTATTTGAAAGTAGTATTTTCGGACTTACATAATTAAATAAACCTGTTGTGCTTTCATATACTGACAGCACAGCATTATGGTGCTGCACCAATATAAAAATGTCCTTTAAATTTGACAACTCTGCATTCAGTGACAGTTAAAATCTGAATAGGAATATCTCACTCTGGTACTGGATGAAATCACCAGGAAAAGGAGGTTGGGACTGGTGGGTAAACCTGCCATTATAATAAAAGTCATTAAAAAAAGATTTTCAGTTGTGTATAATTAGTATGAGTACGTTGCATCAAATGTTGCAGTCAATAAAGGTTATAGACTGTACAAAAAATGACATGTTGGATATTGATGATTGAACTGTTCAAATGTTTCTTTAATTTGTTGAAAACAAAATGATGTGACAGCAGTTACTGGAAAACAAAATCAACTCTGGCCCCTTTGGGGTCAGAGGTTGGGTTTCCCCCCCCTTTGGAAAATGGTTCTGAAGGTCAGTGATCCACTATTGGTTTTTCCCCCCCAAAAAACCGCCCAAAAATTCACTGGCCACAGCAAAGAGTAGGGACCTGGGAGAGAAAAGTACCAGCATTTTTCTTTTTTTTTTAATTGGCTGACATCACAGTTGAAACACTGGAACATGAACACATAATGGTAAAGGTTCCCTGCAAAAGTCTAAATCAGGCGTTAGTCTTAAGCTGGGCTCACACTGTGCAATTTTTTCAGTCGAGCTATTCAGCTCCTGCCCAAACTGTATGATTGAGTCGCAGGGGTTAGAAGTTCATAGGTCACGATGCAGCGTCTCACACTATACGGCCTGATCTGATGCGACCTGAGTGCTCACACTGTGCGTCCATAACATGAAGCTTATAACACAAAATGTGCCTCTCGCTCCCCCTCTCTGTCTTTCACTCACACAGACACACACACACACACACACACACACACACCACCATCAACTTTGCTAAATTGCTAATGAAAAACATTGATCAGGCAGCTGTGACTGAGCAGCAGTGTATAGATCCAACTATTTTCATGGTTGTTGTGGTCGTGATAATTTTGTGAGGCCACATCGAAAAGACCCAGATGAACTTGCCAAAGTTCTACAAGTTGTGCCTCCATCATACGCTGCACTGCCGTGTTGCTCCGTCTTTTCACTTTCATTTCTGTGTTTGCGCGTGCGCAGTGTGAGAGGCTGCAGTGACAGCCTCACGACAGGATTTCAAACATGTTTGATTTTCTTACGACCAAATGATTGATGATCGGGAGCTGGTCGTGAGGTGTTAATCGTTTCTTGTTACCCCACATATACTACACCAGGGGTGTCAAACTCAAATACACAGTGGGCCAAAATTCAAAATGAAACAAAGTCGCGGGCTAACGTTAATATTTATTGAAAAAAAAAAATCTTCCTCCAGATATAAGAATGAATCTTTTCTTATGGACTCAAATAAGTTTAGCTGAAAAACTGAATATGGAACAAGCAAAGCTTAATACTAAACAATATATATATTAGCTATATAATACCAGTAGGCCAGCTCTAATAGTAATTTGGTATGGCTTCGCGGGCCAAATGTAATTAGGCTGCGGACCAAATTTGGCCCGCGGGCCAGAGTTTGACACCTATGTACTACACGATGCACAACACACGATTAAGGCGAAACTCGGGCCGATCCCCAAAATGGTCGCACGACTGAAAAATCGGCTCAAAATGGGCCAAAATTGCACAGTGTATGCCCAGCTTTACATTGTATCTCAAAAGATATAGTTTTGACCTTCATCCATTTTCTCACGCTTATCTGGGTCCAGCTTACAGAGGCAGCTGTCTATTTATAGACATCCTCCCTCAACTTGTCAGTGACCTGCTTCACTCTTCGCTCAGTAAATAGGACGTCAAAATAAACAGCGATTCCTCCCTTAGCTGCATGCAGCCCTTTGCCATCTGAGAACAATCGTGTCAGATTTAGAGGTGGCAATTCTCATTTCTTTTGCTTTAAAACTTGGTTGCAAATCACCCAGTGGGAGCTGGAGGTCACTGCCTATAAAGTGACTTGCCTCACCTAAAAATGTTGGTCAGTCATAAAATTTAGGAACAGAATTGATAACAAAGGGTCCGACTTACTGCTGGATCGAGAGCTTTCACTACAGTTGTACAGGGACCTAATGGCCCATACCAATGAGCTCCTGCCACACCTGAGTTTTTGCTTCAGCTACTGCCGGATCCATTCTCCTCTTGGATTGTCAGTGACTGTCAGCTGACTCAAGACACCTACAAGCTAAATAAAACTTATAAGACTCTTTCTCCTCTGAAACTTTAATGTTTGGATCTTTTGCAAAACTAAATATACTAAATAACTGGAGTCCTGCATTGTGCCTGTGCCAGGATGATAGAACTCTTCATGTATATGTTAGTGGTCTTCACAGTTTCCACAGTCCACTTGGGCATACCTATGTGCCAGTGGTCACAAAGACATGTTATCATACTCTGAGTTGTTCCACATCAACAGTCACAGGGTAAACACTGAGAGCTTTGTGAAGTTATCCTTTTTCCGTTTAGTTATTCAGAGCTTGTCTAGATGAGAGGTATGGTTATGAGAGTTAAATTAAACCTTCATTAAGTAAAATTCCCGCAAGGTAGGCAGTTTGGAAAAGGAGCAGGCTCCTTTCAGCTTTCCATCTGCCTTCTGCTATATGACTTCCTTCCATGGACTGTCAGCCCACTTTATTGTAGTATTCATTACATGGTTAAATAGTTTTTATGTTTCCCATTAGGAAGCTAAAGCTGCCACTTAGGCTTTTGCTTTGTGAGTTTTCAAAAATCTCAAAGTTAAAGAAAAGTCTGTCAGATGTAACCAGACTTCATTTCCTCAAAGCAATTTCAAGTTTTTCGCTTTATGAGAGTGAGTGTACGAATAAATGGACTGTATAAGGATGAACATCTGGATACATACAGCACACTTAACAGGATGGTGGCTGAGTCAGAACTATGAAACTGGGCCCAGACCAGTAAGATTCCAGAATATCTTTTTCACTTGCTTTTTATTAAACATAAAACCATGAGGCAGGTAGTAATCCCTCCCAGCTCTCCGGTTGCTGATGATGATAAATGATTCATGTATGTAAAAAATCGAAATCGATCAATTAAACACAGAAAAATACTCACAAAGCAGATTCCAACTTAGTTCTTTAAGTTAGCATTTGTACCACATTTAAAACATTCAGGAAGACACATCTCTTTCAGCAGATTAAAGAATGGACAACCTAAATATGTGGGGGGTTTTTGTGTGGGGATATCATATCTTATATGATTTTGTGTCTGCAGGATATCTTTAACGCAGTGATCAAACAAAACCCGTTCCTGGTTCATCAGCTGCCTTGCTTCTGGAACGTCCAGCTGTCTGACCACACCCGTTCCGAAAAGTGCTACAAAGATGTGTCCGACCTAAAGGTGAGATCTTGATAAGCCCGTTATACATTTATCGAGACACATATGAACCTGCTCGGAGGTGTTCCCCACTTTCTATCCTTTATTTTACTTTCTATTTTTCAAATAACTAGACATTTCAAACCCTGCATAAGAGTACTATTAAAAAATGAGATCAAAACAAACTCTAATGTTAGTTGTTAGTGCCATTAACCATGCTCTTTAGATTCACTGCTCCTCTAAACTCCAAAATAACACCAGCATGCAGCTATAGATTATGTGCACTTTAGCATATGCTACTTCCGGTGGGGAAACGCCTGTAAGGCGCTTCGTTTCCGGTGTGATATTCGCACCTTGTTTACGGTCGGGTTTTCCAAAAACAGGTCAACCAAATGGATGAATCAAGCGGCGATTTACATTTCTCAAGATGTCTTGAGCATTTAACGAATATATCTGTAGATGATGTTCATCGACTTGTCGATATTTTCCCCCTCACCTCAGGGCAAAATAGAAAAAGGATTCAAATTTTATATTTCTTAGTATTTGTATATAGTGTTCTCTCGTTTATTGCGGGTGTCTAAAAATAACCAGCAATAGGTGAAATCTGCAAAGTAGCCAACTTTATTTTTTTACAATTATTTTATATGTTTTAAGGCTGTAAAACCCCTCACTACACGCTTTGTACAGTTTTTTTCAGACAGGCATCGACATTTTCCCACTTTTCTCTGTCATTTAAACACTTTAAGAGTTCAAACCTTCGTAAAAAAAAAAAAAAGTCCAGTATTATAGAATGAAACCAAAGATCAAAACCTGTTTTCAGTCTCAAACATTTAGTTGAAAAGTAAACATACAGTATATTTGTTTTCCTATAAATAATAATGACGGATTTTAGAACTAATGAATTTAAATGTAAGCTTAATTGCTTCATTTAAGCTTAATGCACCTTATAACCCGGTGCGCCGTATGGTCCCAGAAGTCCAATGTTTTTTGTGCCATGGTTATCTTCCTCTGCCTCTCGGGTGCTACCACAGGTGCCTATGACGGTGCAAAACGTTTCGTCGGCATTGTTTTTGTTGAGGAGAAAACTTACAAACATACAGTACAGCACTTCAGAGTCACACTGCTAGCGATTGATGTAGCGATTCTGTACTGTACAGGAGAGAAGGCACGGAGATCGACAACGGTCTGCAGTCGATCAGGACGCAGAACACACTGCGCTTTAAAAAAAAAAAAGAAAAGAAAATCATGCAAAATTGCACTAAAAACATCCGCGAAACAGCGAGGCTGCGAAAGGTGAACCGCGTTATAGTGAGGGACCACTGTAATTGTGAAGCTAAGTCACAACATACCCTTCGTAAATACTAATATATAGTGACCCTTACCAGCAATCATTCATGTATTTTTTAATATCCTGTGGCTTTTTTTCACGGTTTGTTGACATGCTGTGTAGGAGAGCACTTGACCAGCTGATATCGACATAACGGGGAAACATCTGGCTTTGACTATTCTTCACCTGTAGTTTCAATACTGGACATTTTCCTGTTTAAATCATAAGAACTGTCACTATACAGAGATGTGCTTCTGAATGTGGACGATGTGTCTTCTGATGTGATGTAAACAACCAATCGATCTACACGCTTCAAACGTCAAAATTGATCATTTTATTTTTAATGACACGGCAATGGTGAGTGTTCCCACCTTTTGCTCTTTGTAACTTAATGTAATCTTTCCGTTTTCGTATTTCGGACATGATTTTGGAGTCCACCTTCGCAGTAGCGATTGACCGCAAAATAAAGCTACCAGAAATGTACAAGCCTACATCCGGTCTTAAAACAGGAACTTAGCATTTTCTCGTGCACAGGGTCTGTTACTGTTCTTACCACACTGGTCTGTGTAGGTTTTTAGTCATCCAAGTAAAAGTAATAGAAAATAACTGGACGTGTTTAACTTTCCACACTAGCACAGTGCTTTTGAGACCGTTAAACAAAGACATTAAGAAACTCTGCTGAATGAGTTTTAGGAAAAGCTCTTGATCTTACCAATCAAAAGTGAAGCCACGCCTCATACATGTTTTGGCAGTTTTGTGGATTCTTTCATGTGGTTTCTTCTATAATGTATCTTCTTGCATTGGATAATGCTACATGTGCTCCTCGCACGGTTGGCAGTTCATTCTATGTCCACAAAGTGTTCTTGGCCAAAACACTGAGTTGCGAGCATCTTGAATGGCATTGCTGAAACGTATTTATATCAATCTGCAAAAAAGTGCAGTTAGTGAAATGGCACCTTTGTCTAAAGCACTGAGTGAAGTAATTTCACATCTTAGCAAACAGTATAATGAGGCTTTTCTTCACTGCTCTCTCATTATTTTTGCCAGGTATTGAGCCAAATAACGGACAAGTGTTAACAACAAGTAGTAACTTTGTTCTGCACTCTTGGCAAAGCGCAGTGTAAATGTTTTGGTTTATTGCTCTGATTCTTTAGAACCTGATGATACCAGAAGCTTCTTCACCACTCTCCCATTTGTGGTTCTCCTCAACAGGTGATCCACTGGAACTCTCCAAAGAAGTTGCGAGTAAAGAACAAGCATGTGGAATTCTTCCGGAATCTCTATCTTACCTTTCTGGAGTACGATGGCAACCTTCTGCGACGAGAGCTGTTCGGCTGTCCCAGTGAGGCTGACCACAACAGTGAGAATGTATGTGGGACTTCTGTGCTTCTGTTTCTGTTGTCAGTGTAGTGAAGTTATTTGAGATGGTGCTTAACCACTGTGGGATTCAAACTGCCATCATCCATTTAGTTAGAAACAAGTTACATTTGTAGCGAACAAAGAGTAAATTTCTTATCAATTGAAACATAAGTCAGGAATTCTCTTAACTCTTGACTTGGTATTGACAACATACATGAGAGTTTCTACATCTCCTGATGTAACTGCTATGCCTAGTACATTAAATTAATACCTGACATGGTAGGTTCAGGGTATGCTGGCTAGTCAGACATTAGCATTAGCATTGTGGATGCACATGGACATTTTGCATCACCTACACTCATGATGCCTTTACTGCTTCTGAGGTGTGCGCCAGGTTTTATGAATTCCTATCATTAGCTCTTTAACAGGAGAAAACATCTAGCACAGGGGTGTCGAACTCCAGGCCTCGAGGGCCGGTGTCCCGCAGGTTTTAGATATCACCCTGTTTCAACACACCTGAATCAAATTATTAGTTCATTAACAGGCTTCTGGAGAACTTCAAGACATGTTGAGGTGATAATTTAGCCATTTAAATCAGCTGTGTTGGATCAAGGACACATCTAGAACATGCAGGACACCGGCCCTCGAGGCCTGGAGTTCGACACCTGTGATCTAGCAGAAGCAGGCTCAGGGAGGGAAAGTCATCTTTTGAGGGTGAGGGAGGGAAGGAAGGAAAGAAGGAAGGAAAGAAAGAAACCTATATCCATATGTATTGTACTTCCTAAAGTTTTTATTGACATGACTCGTATTACTTTTATGCTTTACGTGTTCCCAGTCAAGTTGGCTACTGACAGTATTCAAATGTTTTGTTTGGGGGGGGTGGTCTGAATAACTTCAGACCTGCTTTGTATAATTAACATACAAACACTGAACAAAAAATCTAAAACTAAGTGATCTGATCTTTACATTTTAAGAGAGCAGGATTGTCATGAACCAGGAATTGGACTCAAACACAAACTCACTTAAGAAAAACGTGAATTCAAAATACAGTTTTATTGCCGGGAACAGAGGGAGCGATACAAAACTAAACCGGGAAAATCTAAGAATATGAACTCATGGGGAAACACAGGGAGAGACACGCAGCCATGAGGGACGACGCGACAGAGGACTGAGGGAGATGCTGACCTAAATACACAGAGGGATAACAAGGAAGTGAGAAGACACAAGGAACAGCTGACATGAATAACCATAACGAGACAGGGGCGACTGGACTGAACAGAATAAACATGAAAACGCAGGACTTTGACAATAAAACAGGAAACATGATGTGGGAGTAGAGGAGAGGCAGATCACAGCGAGGGAGAGCACAGACACGACACGCTGGGGAAACATGGAAAACCTAACACAATAAAACATGAAGGGAACCACGGCACAAGAACTCACACCACAATATAAACACAGACACAGAGGGAGACACAGAGGGCAGAGACACAAGGAGGGAATCCAATAAACTAAACTGAACAACCTAGGAACCATGGAATAAATAATGAACTAACAAAATACAAAAACACAAGAAAAACTAGGAACACTGGGACAAAATGACCCAGGGTAGCTCAAGTAAGCACAGTGTTACATATTGGACATTGTAAACATAGCCTGGAGTAACAGAGGATAAACTTCAGTGTTCATTAATAAGTTTTTGTGCTTTTGGAGCCATTACTAATCTGTAGAATAGAATGAACAGAGGTGTGTCTTGCCATAACAGTCCCACAGCAGGCACCCTGCTGCCCTCTACTGTCAACAGTGATAAACATTTACTTAAACAAAACTCCAACCAGGTGAAACTTGTATCCCCGGCACACAAACAGTGTGAAATATACTATAGAATCTCAGCATAGATAGGGCTTGTTTAATGGTTGAATGAGGCATGTTGTATAAAGTGCTCAGTGCTAAGGCAGAGTAGGAGAGTATAGCATAAGCACCAGTCTATCTACCATGCCAGACACAAAAGCAGCTGTTCACATGTCGGTAATAATGTTCATGATCAAAGTCAGTGGCTCAGACTGACGCAAAAGTGCCACTGACCTTCACAGTCAGCAAACAGCAGACAACAGGTCTGTTCTTGTTAGAATCATAACGTGCAGAAACTTTTTAGCACATGTGAAGTTGCATTCGTTTAGGTTAAGGACAAAATGACTCGCAAGCAATAAAATAGCAAGAATAAATTAATTGTGCAAACCTATGATGATGCAATAGATAGATAGATAGATAGATAGGAGTGGGCACTTCAGCAGTCAACAAGACTCTCTGATTTGGAAGTATTTTTTTTATTTTTGCAGGTTTATTTGCTTTATTTCATTTTTACAGGTTCTACAGTTTTTCTATGCTGACACCAGAGTTTAATATTATGTATGTCCTCGAAAAGCAATATGTAAAAATGGCCATGATCATCCAGTCAAACACACAGTTTTAGAGAGAGTGGGTTGACTGAGAGAGAAAGAATAAGAGGACTAAATGTGTCGTGCAGGTACAGGAGACATTTATCAAAAGTGGTCACCTTATTCCGTCCGACTTCCTCCGGAGAATAACGGACTGTATTCTCTGAAGGAAGTTTGTCACATCATTTCCCAGTGTCACACTTGAAGGAGCGATCAAAATTAGGATGAAGTCACTGTACAGTATCTTTGAGTTGCACACAGGAAATACTCATTTCTACTTGAGCTAATTGAGAACAACCTTCAGGATGCCTTATCTGAAAGAGTGTCACTGCCAGAAATTGAAAAGCTTCTGCTTGATTCAGCAGAAGTGATTATAAAGTGGAAAAGAATTAAGACCTTCACATGCAACACCATGGGACAGCAGAGGTTAAATGCTCTTGCCATGCTGTCAGTTGAAAACAAATTAATTTATGGATTGGTGGAGATCGTGAAACTTTTCTTTCCAAGGAATCCATTTGAGTTTAGAATGCTTTTATTTTCACTGGAACAGAGTTTAAATGAAATTTCAATTTCTTTTACAATTACAACTTTTACCATCACAATAGGATTGCTCCATTCACTGGTTGAGGGCTCAGTAACCCCCAAATCCAATATCAGAGCTACCTACTTCTCCAAAACTCCAATCCTGTACATTCTCTGCCATATTGGTGTACTCTCTTTCAGGCAGATGTCAGGCTCCACAAGGTTTCTCATCCCTGGTTTCTTCTTAAAAATAACTTGGCAGGAATAATGGCATGCAACTTCTCCTGCTGAGTTACAGAGAGATGGGAGAGGTCAAGAGAGACAGAGTTAAGCCCAACAGGCATAAATTCCTCATTGATATCATCCTCCTCAGCCACAGTTTGCACGAACAACTGCTGCTGGATTGGATTATTCTGGGTTTTCCATTCCTTTAGCTCAGGGGTGGGCAACTCCAGGCCTCAAGGGCCGGTGTCCTGCAGGTTTTAGATGTTTCCTTGATCCAACACAGCTGCTTTAAAGGGCTAAATTACTTCCTCAGCATGTGTTGTAGTTCTCCAGAGGCCTGCTAATGAACTAATTATTTGATTCAGGTGTGTTGACCCAGGGTGATATCTAAAACCTGCAGGACACCGGCCCTCAAGGCCTGGAGTTGCCCACCCCTGCTTTAGCTGATTGATGTGAAATTTGTTTTGGATTTCTTCTCTCTGGCATCTGGATCTCATGAGTTGTTGAACTGCTTTCTTAGCACAGCACCTTGCCATTTAGCCAACAATTTGTTTTCAGCAGTAGGAAGTAATAAGAGTACCTGCTGTCCTTGGCTGAACGAGCTCTCCCTTGCGGCCCTGTTGTGACAGTACTCTGCATATGTCTCTTCACCAATTTGGTGTTTTGCTCCATTTTCTCCCTCATCTGAAGAATGTAGTCCAACACGCTCGTCACCTCTTTCCTCGGCCTCACCCAGGATTCCTACAGAACATCCAATGGTCCTCTCACCTGCCTGCCATACAGGAGCAGGTGAAAAAGGTGAAAAGCCGGTTCATGCTTGAGGCACTTCCCTATAAGCGAACAGCCAATCAGGAAGCCACATGTCCCAGTCTTTGGCATTAGCCGAGATGAACTTCTTCAACATTGCTTTCAGAGTTTGATTGTATCTCTCCACCAAGCCATCTGTTTGGGGGTCTAAATACTGCTAATACCTTAAAGCTTATACACCTGCCTCAGGGTATGCAAAAGAAACTCAAAACCATCATCCGTCAAAATCTCAGATGGAGTATCCACCTGGGAAATAAAACCTGCAAGAGAGCATAAGCTGTCTGTTTAGCTGTAATTTCCCTAAGGGGAAATGCTTCTGGATATCTGGTACTGTAGGCACAAACCACTAATATATAGCGATTACTTGCCTGGGTTCACTCTAGCGGCCACACTATATACATTGCAATGCGACTGAATGGAACATCAATAACAGGTAAAGGCTTTAAAGGAATTTTTGGGACATTTTTATCACCAGCCAGCTGACAAATTGAGCAAGACTGGCAAAACTCCTCAACATCTCTGTTCATACCTGGCTAATAGAACCTGCTGGCAATTCGGTCCTTTGTCTTCTTAGTTCCCAGATGCCCCACCCGTGGAATAATATGCCCCAATCTTAAAACTTGCTCCTGCTGCTGCTGTGGGAACACCAACCTTAGTCTGTCATCCCTGTTTGCTTTGTAGTACAACACTTGTCCTTTGACGAGTGTTGTACTACAAAGCTGGATGGCATTACCTTGGCCTCCAGTAACACTGAAAGGAAACTTTGTATCGTTTTTGATCAGGATATGTCCTTCAATGCACATACAAATATGTGGGACTGCTTTCCTTCATTTGTGCAAGATCTCTAAAATCATGTGACACTGACACACTAGTGTATTCATTTATTAATTTTAGACTGAATTATTGTAATTTGTTATTATAAGTTGTCTTAAAAACTCCCTTCAGTTAATCCAAAATGCTGCAGCAAGAGTACTGACGGTGAATAGACAGAGAGAGCATATTTTTCCTATACTGGCATCTCTTCATTGGCTCCCTGTCTTAAGTAATCAGGCCTCACAGTATCGTGTCACCCTCCCTGAGCCTGGTGATGCCAGGTTTTTCCTTCCCACTCTCATCATATGATTTTTGGGGTTTTCTCTTTATTATTGTAGGGTCTTTACCTTACAATTCAAAGCGCCTTGTTATTGTGACTTGGCACAGTATAAATAAAACTGAATTGAATTAACCAACACTGATAAGACTCCTCCTTCAGCTTGATTGCTCCTTTCACCTCTGTCCACCATATGGTTCAGGGATTACCACTCCCATAGATACCAACCACCTTGCAGCCACAGTCCCTTGCAAAATCTTGCCTCGTAGGGTGAGGATGGTTAAGAGTGAGGTGGTGGATGAGCCCAGAACTACACAGGAGGAGCTTGTTAATCATCTGAAGGCAGATGAATGCAGCTCACAGTCACCAAGACTGCCATTGGTAACACAAAATCCCTCCTGAGATGTGTCCAAACTACGAGAATTACCAGCAAAAAGGGTTTCCCCATCAAGTACTAGAAATGTTTTGTTTGGGGATCAAATACTTATTTCACTCAGTGACATGGATGTTTTGTCTAGTTTTTTTGTTGTTGTTGAGATTCTGTCTCTCTGGTCTGTAATCTGTCTTATTCTTCCTATCTTTCTCTATCTGCAGCTCCAGAAGACACTGTCAGAGCTGGATGAAGATGATCCGTGCTACGAGTTTCGTCGAGAGCGATTCACTGTCCATCGAACACACCTCTACTTCCTGCACTATGAGTATAAACCCAGCTCTGACAACACAGATGTCACTCTCGTCGCCCAGCTCTCTATGGACAGGTGCTGGTTTACACCCACACTTACAGAAGCTACACAGGTGTGTTTAGTTCAAAGTGGGCAGAACAATGAAGTGGAAGGCTTCCAGAGGTTTTAGAACATTGAAAATGTTAAGAAAAAACATATTAGAGCTGCTCCTGGTTAGAAAAAACCCACAATAAACAGCTGTGTTGGCAAATCTGTTGACTGATGAAGATCGAAGGAGCAAACCTCTTAGGTATGACATTGGGGGAGAAATATATTTACATATCTAGGCTAATGGTTTATATGTATAGTCCTGCACTACCAAAGAATACTAGGATACTTAAAAAGCAGAAGCAAACATCCTTCCAGTAACAGCTCTTTTTCAGTTTGCAGCTTTTGTCATACTGTCAAATACCCAAACCTACCTGAAATGTTTAAAGGTTAGCCATTCGGCCTGTACTCTGCAGTTTTATGTTTTTAAAACCATAGACCAGGGAAAAGTATTTAACAGTCAGTAAAAATGACTACCCCCAGAACTTCTGAGCTTCTAGGTTAATAATTTTAGAGTCTAAAAGTGTCCTTGATTAACATCAGAAAGTGAGATCAGTTCATCTCTTATTCGGCAATAATCTGGATCAAGGCGATATAGTGGCATTAAAAAGGTTTATTTTCACATCTTCATGATGGGGAATGCTTGCAAAAATATTGACTGGTAGCAAAGTAGACAATACATCAACATAGTAAAACAATCAACAACTGACTGTATAACATACATGTAGTGGATGGAGCATTAAAATTCTTTACTTACTTACTAACAAAATCAAAACCAGTCTGTGAACCCCTGGCAACATCTGGTCGCTAGAGGAAAATGAATATTTCCTGATGGCTGCTGAGTGGTTGCTGGAGGTTGCTCCCTGTGGTTTGGTGAAATTGGCTGCAAAGACGATGCTGCACTGAAAACATCCTTGTGATTGCTTTGTCCGCTAGTAAATTATCATAGTTAGTTATAGTTTGCATGGAAAATGGCAGTTTGTATTATTTTAGGGTCTTGAAGGGTATTGAAGCAACTGTTGTTTTGTTTTGGCACTTTTTTTATAAAATTGAATCGAATTGTCTGCCGACACTTAAAATAATGGATTACATTTAGAGCTTTTCGAGACCATCAAAGCACTTTACAATTCCACTATTCATTCACTCTCACACACTGGTGGAGGCAAGCTACAGTTGTAGCCACAGCTGCACTGGGGCAGGCTGATAGAAGCGAGGCTGCCATATCGCGCCATCGGCCCCTCTGGCCAACACCAGTAGGCGGTAGGTGAAGTGTCTTGCCCAAGGACACAACGACCAAGACAGACAGAGCAGGGGATCGAACCGGTAACCTTTCAGTTACAAGATGAGCTTCCCAACCCCCTGAACCATGGTCGCCCCGATAAAAGCTAACCACCAAATGGTAGCGTAACTTGGAAAAGTGCAAGTCAAACCAAAACTTTGCCTTCAGTGTTAACTAACAGAAACTAACACTTTTCAAAAATTTCATCTTTTACTTTAAAGGGGAATGATCTCCATTTCTTGTGTGCAGACCAGTCAGTGTTTTCCATACTGTCTATGGGCAACCATGGAAATGTGTTTGCAACTAAAGCAAATACAAGGAGGTTTTTGGTTCAGTGCTCTATACACCTTTGCAATCAATTCCACTTTGCTACAGCAAGCAGCCTCTTGCAACTACTCACCAGCTAGTCAGGAAATACACTTTTTTTTCCTAATTACCCTAATTACCACTGACAGCCTCTAGGCCTGCCTCACTTGGGCTTCACCAATCAATTTCACAGTGAGTACCTGCAACTTCCAACCACCACTCTCAACTACTCAGTCACTGCGGTTGCCAGTGACAGAAATATGTGGTTTATAAAAAAAAGACTTCTTAATTATTTTATTGACTTTTCATATTTTTATTCTAACATCAATTCAGAATAATCATTGTGAACAAAACAGAACAAGAACTGCCCACAGCTAGCAAGCAGACTTCCTTTTTAACATCTCAAATATTGCAATCCAGTAGTTGTATTTCATTGCAAGGTCTCCTGCTGTTTTCTGTAATATGAAAGAACAGCAGATGTTTTGTCATTGGCTGATATATATATATGTGTGTATGTGTGTATGTGTGTGTGTGTGTGTGTGTGTGTGTGTGTGTGTGTGTGTATATATGTGTGTGTGTGTGTATGTGTATATATGTGTGTGTGTGTGTGTGTATGTGTATATATATATATATATATATATATGTATATATATATATATATATATATATATGTATATATATATATATATATATATGTATATATATACATATATATATATGTATATATATGTATATATATATATGTATATATAATAAGTTATTTGGTGATGTCATTTATGCCTGTGATCTGGTCTTGTAGGCTCCAGATGTTGGAGGCCATCTGTAAGCACTGGGAAGGCCCCATCAGCCTCGCCCTGTACTTGTCAGATGCTGAAGCCCAGCAGTTCCTTCGCTATGCTCAGGGCTCTGAGGTGCTGATGAGTCGTGGGAATGTCGGTTACCACATTGTCTACAAGGAGGGTCAGTTCTACCCAGTCAACTTGCTACGAAATGTGGCCATGCGACACGTCAACACACCCTACATGTTCCTATCAGACATTGACTTCTTGCCTATGTACAGCCTCTATGAGTATCTCAGGTAAGATGATTAAGTAAAAACCAAAGGACAGCTCTAAATGTTGATCTCATTCCTCATTGACACTGTGAACAATCACTTACCGTCTATGTGCAGGAAGTCTGTGGTGCAGCTGGACATGGCCAACACCAAGAAAGCTCTAGTGGTTCCCGCCTTTGAGACACTTCGGTATCGACTGTCATACCCGAAATCTAAAGCCGAGCTGCTGTCTCAGCTGGACATGGGCACACTCTTCACCTTCAGGTTAGACATGTTTGTCCCTGTCTGTCGTAGAAGGTATGTGAACCAGAAAAGAATAGTAGATTCGCAGATACGTTCTGTCAGTGGACTCAGAGGACGAGAGCAGTCTGAACACCACTACTCTGAACGGAAGGCGCACCAGGGGTGCTCAGTGCAGACATAAGACATGAGTGGCACTAACAGAAAGCTGCAATGAGGCACACATGACATCCAGTAAAACCAGCGTGACTCAAACCTTCTGCTTTACATCTGGAACAGAAGGATAAGAAGCTGGTTTCACAAAATACTGATGTTAATAACTTTGACATAAATTAATGAAAATGTAATTTCATCTCACAGACATGGAGATAATTATATGCCTATGTTTAGTGTGAGTACAGATGCAACACTATACTGGTCAAAACTCTACATGGACTGCACACATGACTCCTGTGTGCAGTCTCTATGGGTGCCCAAGGCTCTTTGAGTCATATTCACTTTGCTTCAGTCTGTAATACGTCTTTTATCTTATGGTCTTATGGCACTCACATATATGGAGATAACTGTGCTGCCATCATAAATGATTTGGTCTGAATAGTGGGGTAAAGACTCAATTTTCACATCTACGCTAGAGAAAGAGCTTTTAGCATCCCTGTGTCCAAAGTACCACCTAATCTTTTAGGAACTGTAGAGTGCATTTCTGCTCTGGTAAACTACTTTCCTTTTTTCTCCTTACAGATATCATGTGTGGACTAAAGGCCATGCACCAACTAACTTTGCCAAATGGCGGACAGCCACCACTCCCTACAGAGTGCAGTGGGAGGCTGACTTTGAGCCCTATGTTATGGTGAGGAGGGACAGTCCTGAGTATGACCGCCGCTTTGTGGGCTTTGGCTGGAACAAGGTGGCTCACATTATGGAGCTGGATGCACAGGTAACTCGGTGCTCCCATTGTCAACCTCAGTTACTCCCAAAATTGGGACTTTGTGTAAAATGTAAATACAAACAGAATCCAGTGATTTGAAAATCTCTTTAAGTCATATAATAACACATCGGTTATTTAAACTCACAACTGGACGAACATACAGTAGACTTATTAGCAACAGGTCAGTAACATGAGTGGATATAAAAAGAGTTTTTCTCAGAAGAAAATACAGGAAGAAAAATGTATCTACAAATTTTGCAACTAGCTTAATTCAGTTCAGTTTTATTTATGTAGCGCCAAATCACAGCAACGGTCACCTGAAGGCTCTCTATACTGTAAGATAAAGATCCTACAATAACACAGTAATGTTCCTAAACTGTGAAGACTGAACATCTCATTGTCTACAGTACATTATATCATCAACAGACTGAGAGAATGCAACACTTCACAAATCACCGTGTGTGAACACAGCTCAGAGTGCCGTCCGTACGTGCAGGTTAAAGCTCTATCATGCAGATAAGAATCATCTGTAACATTGATCCACAAACACTGCTGTCTCCGATGGACCAAAGCTCAAAGTGGAAAACGGATCTTAGGTCAGAGAAATCGGAACCAAAATGTTTTTTGGAAAACGCTGCGTCCTCTGGACTAAAGAGGACAGGGATGACCTGACTGCTTATCGGTGCTCAGTTCAAATGCCTGTATCTTTGATACTACTGGGGGCATCAGAGCCTATGGAACTGGCAGCTGACACATCTGGAAAGGCTCCATCAGTGCTGAAAGGTATATACAGGTTTTAGAGCAACATAAAGACAGCAGGTGTCTTTATCATAGTTTAGCAGGACGATGCTAAACTGCATATTGCATCTATTCCAGCAGCACGGCTTCATAGCAGAAGAGTCCACACCATTCACCAGCTTAGAACATCTGGAGCCTCAGGACTGTTGAGCAGCTAGAATCCTCTATCAGATAAGACCAGGACAACATTCCTCTGAGAAATGTCAGCAGTTGCTCTCCTCAGCAGTTAAAAGAATCGTTCAAACCACCACCACCTTCAGACTGGTGTTTTGGACCTCAAGTAAAGTTAAAAGCATAGCTGATCAGCACAACTCATCACCAACTGGTGGCAAGTTAAGTCAGGTTGTAGGGGAAGACGCTAGATAGGTCTCATACTCAAGCTATTATTCTGAGGATACGCTGACCAGTCAGCTGACAGGTAACGGTAGGCCCTACGTTGCCAGAGTCACAAAGAGAGTGACTCTGGCAGTAGCTGAAGCAAAAACCTGGGTTTGGTGATGCTATGGAACAAGACTTTTAACTGACGTCAAGGCAAACTGACAAACTGTCAAGTGACTCAGAATAGAGAAGCATCTTCCAGCTCACCTGTATGTGGTGAAGATAGAGAGCTGCTGACTTCATATAAGGATATCGTTAGGTGGTGAATGTGGTGTGGCTATGGACTGAGAGGTGGAGCTGGTTGTCTACCGTGTGGAAGGTTGGGGGTTCACTCCCTCAACTTCCTCAAGTCTGCATATCAAAGCAAGATACTGAAGCCCATGTTGTTCCCCATCAGAGTGTGAGAGTGTGAAACAATGTTAGATTCTAAGAAATTGAAAAAAGCACTTCAAGCATTCAGAGTAGTACAAAAATGTATCAATTTATTAACTGACTTATTAGGAGGGTTTCTTTGAGCCCACTGACATCCTTTCCTTTGAGGAGGCAAATTGTGGGGGAAAGGGATGACTGGTCTATCCCTGGGCATGAGGTCAAGGAGGTAGTTAAACAAGGACATTTTTCAGTAGTTGGGGAGAGAGCGGTCTGGGCATCTTTGCCAAGACAACTGCCTCTGTAACCCAGACAAGCTGCAGTCGATGGATGGAAAACGTTTAAATTTCTCATTTAAGTTTGTTTTATAATGTGATACAGAATATTTTCAAATGATGAAATCCTTTTCCACTATATTCCATTCCATTAGGATAACTTAACTTAAGATAATTTTGATTTCCACTGTGTAATTTAACCACATTTATTTTTGTATTTTGAGGATTTGAGGATAAAGAAAGCTCAAAAGCTCAGTCGGTCAAATGATTGGACAGGTTGTATGGCTTTACAGTGACAGGTCCTGTTCTCTTTTAGCTGAAGAAGAAATCAGCATGCGACTCATTATGACTGGGTTTTAATTTTAAGAGGTCATAGGTCAGGTTTGACTGAAGTGCTTAACAATAGTCTTTATGCAAACATCCTTTTTTGGAGCATAAAAATGCAACTTCTAAAAGTCATAGAAACTATTTTGTGTTTATAAAATTTTTATTGTCACTATATCTAATGTCTGTGTGTGTCCTGTGACAGGTGTTGCTCATTGTTGAAAATATGAGAATAGTAATTATGTTAACTGCGCACTTCGGTTCAGTTCGACTGAGAATTTTAGCTTCTTATGCACGACCAAGAGGCATGTGGCTCATGCAGTTACATGTTACCAGATCAGATGGACTCAGGTATGAACGGTGATTCCTGAGGAATTCAGACTGAAAGTTTGTTCTTTTCTCTCCACAGGAGTATGAATTTGTGGTTCTGCCCAATGCTTTCATGATCCATATGCCTCATGCACCCAGCTTTGACATCACCAAGTTCCGCTCCAATAAGCAGTACCGGGTCTGCCTGAAGACCCTGAAGGAGGAGTTCCAACAGAACATGTCGCGGCGGTACGGTTTTGCCGCCCTTAAGTACATGACGGCTGAAAACAACAGCTAGCCACCACTGCGGACCCTCATAGCCCCAACTCTGAACTACTGACATGCTCCACAGGCTGCACCAGGGGAGCATAGTGTGAACGGAAGCCTGTGTGGGTCCTGGGGATACTTTGAGACTTAAGTCCCTCAGAACATTGGACACTGAGTGTGACACTGCAGGGGCTCTTTTGTTCCAACTTTGTCATCAGTTGTGGATAAAGGAGAAAATGTGTGAAGTGTTTCCTTCTCCCAGGATGTTAAAGCTATGAATGATCGCACAAGGGACTGCTGGGGCTGGGCCCCAGGTGTGTGGGCCTCAAGCTTCAGTTATGGAATATGATAGACAGCAAACAAAAATATTGCCTTGCCATATTTCTAAGACCAATGACAGTGTTATGGCTATGTGTAACATTATGTGTGTGTGGGTGTGTGGGTGTGTGTTTGTATGTGTGTGTGTGTGTGTGTGTGTGTGTGTGTGTGTGTGTGTGTGTGTGTGTTCTGCCAGGACAGTGCTTAGCAGGGTGTAGAGCACTGTGGACTAAGCTTTCCAAAACTATGAAGTAACAGGAAGCTGCAGTATGACTGACAGCACAGCCCCGGCTCCAATGCAACCGATCTGCAGGCAGCAGGACAAAGAGGTCAACATGTTGACAGAGAGTTAAAAAACCTTGTTGTGACGAGTGAGACACACTCAGATACTGAGGGTAGCAGCCATCTGACCATCTGCTGCTGCTGAATTTGTTTCATGGCTGATACAGATCAGAATAAATCTTCCTACTCGTATGACAAATAAGCTAAAAGTGTAATAATGTCTGGAGACCATCCGCTTGGTTAATTTTCAGGGGATCTCCACATCAGCCCTGTAGTGTGTCTTCGGTTTTGGTACGACTACAGAATGTGACAGCAGATGGAAGCATTGTCGCTTAGTTAACTGCCTCCCATAACAGAGTGCAGCAACAAGGCCCAACAGTCAGCATTATCTATGAGTGGGTTAAATGGTTGATGGGTGGATGGGAAATCTGTAAAACTCTACCAGTTCCAGTAAGGTGAGTCCCAAACACTTTCTTCCTCACGCTCGTTCTTTCTCCCTCTGGCCTCTAGTTTGACAGCAGTTCAATTCAGGTTTTTTTATATAGCGCGAAATCACAATAATAGGTCCCTGAAGGTGCTTTAATGTAAGGTAAAGACCCTACAATGATACTATAGCAGCCAAATGAGCCAATAACACAGTGCCAGTGTGCGCTCTCTTTGTTTGTGAGGTGTCACACCATCAGTTGGTGTATCGTCAACTTATTATTGGTCTGGTATGAATGTTGTGCCACTAATTTCATGTTACCTGGAGAGGCTGTGGACAGACTGGCAGCCATAGAGTCCTGATAACAAGACACTACTGGGCATTAATGTCCTGTATGATATTATAAAGAAAAACTAAAGTTAGATACGGGTCTAAAGACATTAGGAACACAAATCACTGCAGGAATAATTTTGTAATCAATACAGTGAAAGTGAAACTGAACGTTTTGACTTCAGTGGAAAACATCATGAGGTCAGGTGAGGAAAGAAGTAGTGAAGCAGAATCCCGGTATTTAACCCAGATTTGTTTTGTCACCTTTAAAATGGTCCTGAAAGTTGCTGACCGACTAATCATCATGTGATTTGCCCCAGGAGTCACAGTGTGAAACGGCTGTGTAAAGGTCCGATCGCTCCTCCTGTGCACTTCACACATTGCTGTAGTCAAATTATTTAATCTTGGCAATACCTAATAAGGTAGCCACCCCAGGTATCATCCCGGGGTGGCTGTAGCTGAGGATCTACTGATCGCAAGGTTAATGGTTCGATCCCTGGCTCCAAGTTGCAGGGTCTCTCAAGCATCCATCAGTGTGTGAGTGTTAGCTAGGAAGCACTGAAAGGAAAGTGCTTCTGTGAATGTGGCGTGTTGTATAAAGTGCTCCAGGAGAGTAGAAAAGTGCTATATAAGAATCAGTCCATTTACCTTTTTTATTCATTTTTATTAAGTCTGCTTTACAAAGCGTTTCACACGGGAATGAGCTTCATGCAAAGGTCATTTCAAGAAGAGTTCATTTATGGGCATAACAAATTGTTCAAAATATATATATCTTTGACTAGGATGTAGATGATGATCTGTGTTGCTTGTCAGTCCACTTATAGGACACCATCACTGCTTTCCTGTTATAGGAAATAAAGGCAGCGTTGAACCACGTTTCCTTAATTCACCCTGATATAATTATGGCTCACATTCTTCTGTGCAGCTTCACTCAGCTAGGAAAAGACAATCTGATTATCTGAGCACAGCTGCTGCCCTTGTGTTTCCTGCTGCCTGCTGTACTTCAGTCATGAGTGTGGTGGTAAAGCAACCTGTTACCTAAGCAACCAAAATGTAATAAAACTAACACATGCATTTTAATCCACATCAGTCCTTCTTCCTGCAGGTTAGGCGTGTAAAAATTGTTAACTGAAGGTGCAGTCAGCTGCAGTTATGGATTCACTCTTCCACTTTGAGCAGCTGGAGGCACCGCGGCCTCTGTCAGGTCCCAGCCAGGATCAGAGTGAACGCGTCATTAGGCAGCAACTTGTCACTCGGTCCTAGTCTCCAAAAAAGTCCCTGGACTCACACAAACTTGATACTGATGTGAAACTAGAGGCCTCTCTCTCACACACATCCCAGTGATCTCTCACCCTGTACAGGAAGCTGCACAAGGTCTTGGTGCAGGTTAGTGTGTATGAATGTGAAGAAGCTATCTAAGTGACTGTTGTATGATATTCGGTCTTCGTCTGTTAGCCTTGCAGGGCTGAGTGGGGCTGCAGTGTGTAAGTAGGACAGTGCTGATTGATGCTGCTACCTGAATAAAAGCAAAGAGTCAAAGCGTGCCGTTTCATCATTCCTACTTCTGTGATCGCCAGTTTGACCTCATGAACACAATAAATAAGAACACAGCTGGCACTACAGTATAGGGGAAATAGCCCATTCTGTTTTCAGTAGTCTGAGGGACGTCTTTTTGGTTTGTGAAGACATTTCAGCTCTTATCAAGGAGCCTCTTCAGTTCTAACAACTGATGGAGACTCCCATTTAACCCAGACTTGGTTTGTGACCTTGGAGATGGTCCTGAAGGTCACTAACCCAATAATCATCATGTGATTTGTCCGAAGCCGAGGTGTAAAACAGCTATGTAAGGGTCCAAGCACTCCAAAGTGCACCGCACAGCTTAGACTACATTTTCATCCATTCTTGCGCCACTGCTGCCAGGATATCTGATACATGATATGTCTTGGCTGTGTGTTGAAATCACCTCCCCAGGCACCCTTGTCAGACAAGCATTGTCCTCCACAGTAATGAGAAGAACTATTTAGCACCTTTTTATAGTGTTAACAAAATGCTTTGATCCATCCTTCCATTTTCTTCAGTTTACCCGGGTCGCGGGGGCAGCAGCCTACACAAAGAAGCCCAGACCTCCCACTCTCTAGCCAGCTTCTCCAGCTTATAAATAAAATCTCTCCAGTGTGTCCTGGGTCTGCACTGCACTACCCAGAACACCTCACCCAGGAGGCATTATTGTCAGATGCCTTTCAATGTGGAGGAGTAGCAGCTCTACTCTGAGCCCCTCCCAGATGGTCACTTCACACTGGCCTGTGAACCACTCCAGTGCGAGCTGGAGGCCACCATCCTGATAAAGCCAACAGAATCACATCATCTACGAAAAGCAGAGAGGAGATTCTGAGACACAACTTTTCGGTTTGGCTTTTAACCCAGTACAGAAATGTTCATTTTATTCAGATTTTGTTGTCTTTCTGATGTTGGTGTTCTATATTGTACTTTTATTTTTACTCTGGCAGTAGGGTGAGGCCCCACCTCACTTTGGTTATAAGACACTCGTGGCTTAGTGAATGTAACCTTCACATACTAAAAGCAAAAATAAAATTTCTGGTTGAAATGTTGCTGCCACCAACAGAACCTTAAGTCAGCCATTCCCTCAGTTGAAACTGACACCTTTGCCAAGCTCGACCTAACGACCTAGCCAAAATGTTCAGTAAGGATCTAGCTCTCTCTCTTCCTTATGGTGCAGATGATTGTTCAACAGACAGAACATGAAGCCATGGATTGTGCATTACTGACTCATTAGTACAAGGAATGATCTGTCCTTCATTATCTCCTATGCACAGGTTTTTTCTTTGTAGAGAAGAAAGACAAGTTCCTTTGGCCCTGTATCAACTTCCGTGGTTTAAGATAACGACAAAGAATAAATGCCCTCTACCCTTGCTTACCTCTATTTTTGAGTTGCTCCAGGAGTGCGACTGTTTTTACCAAGTTGAATCTCAGTAATGCTTACATTTGGTGAGAATAAAGGATTGGGGATGAGTGGAAGACAGCAATTAATACACATCTGGGTCACTTTGAGTACTTGGTAATGTCTTTTGGTTTAACAAATGCTCCTGCAGAAATTTCAGACCCTCAAACGATGTCCAGAGATTTCATTAACAACTTTGTCAATCTTGATACTCTTGATCTTGATGATACTCTCATCTTTTCCAAGACTTCCCTGGTTTCATTGTGGAAAGAGGTCCTTTAAAGTCAGACACAGTAAAGGTTCCATCAGGGTGGAGTAACGGAGGGAGCTAGCAATAACAGTCAGGCAGTCAGTCAGTCATACAGATCTTTTTCCCTTGGCCTCAAAGCCAGTGATGTCTTCAGCTTTCTGGACTTTAAAAAAATATTGTGGAAAAACCTGACCGGAGAAGAAATGGGGAAAAAAGTAGTAGTAAATGTTTATATTTCCTTATACAGAAGTTTAAAACAGGCAACAAGTTTTGTTGTATAAAAAGCTAAAGCCTTGTGCATACTTTATGAAGTGCAAATGAGGGTTTAACCATTCTGTTATGGGAATGTTTTGGGGAAAAACACTGGGATCACAAGGATGGAAAGGGCTGCAGACGGAGGTGAGAGAGAGGCTGCAGTCAGATGTGGACAAAATGATAAACTTGAACTTTTCTGCTTTTTTCGTCATTTATTATCATCTTAACATTGAGGCAGACAGTGAGCTTGTTTTTTATTTTATTTTAAGATAAATAATACTACCCTTTATCCAACGTTCAATTGGAACCTCTCCATAATGCTCTTCTTCTATAATTATTAAATTGATGTGTGACGTTTGTTTTATTTATTTAGCAGGTTCTGAAATACATTTTATCTAAAAGGTTTGAAATTAAATGATCTAAATCATTTGCAAAACAAATAAAACCTTTAAACTTCACCTGACTTTGTATTATTGTAGTTCTAGGTATTGTTGTTACTCAGATTAAACTCAAACACCTTGCTTCCTCAAACCCCTGTTTACTTTCTTCATCTGTAGTTATCCCTCTTTGTTTTTTGCTAACCTCTTCCTTTGAATATTATCTTGCGATCACATAATAAAACCGGGCAACAAGCCAACTGAGACATAATAACC